GATGCAAATCCAATGCAAATCCAATGCAAATCCAATGCAAATCCGATAGGTCTTTGCACCTGGTCACATGCTCAGCTGTCCTGCTTTCTGTCCAGCCAGACTGAACCCCTCTGAACCCTACATGACAAGCAGAGACTGTCCAGAGCCCTGCATGCTACCCGTACCGTCCTCACTTCCTGTCACACGTTCAGAGGTCTCGAGGAATCGGTGTGACGGTGATGTTCGTGTGACGGTGTGGGTCAAAGCGAACTCCAGAAAACAAACATTGGATAAATTGGTGAACACTTAATCTAACCGAGCACGGGCAAATGATTCTGTTCATGACACTGTCCGTTTGCTTTGTTTATGAGAGGCTTGACCCTCGGCGAAATGTTTTTTTGCTCTTCCAATCAACCAGCTTTGACTGGTGCACTGCAACACCAGCGATGATGCAAAGATGTATTTATTTGGGGGTATATTGATATTAAAATAGGGAGACCTCCCAGTTCCGAAGGTTCGGGACGAGCCAAGCCCGCCGGGAGACCGAACCACAAACGTCGCTGGACACCACCAAGATGTTTGATTGCTTTGTTTTTTTGGGGGTCCACCGAGACACTCGTGATATCCACGTTGCACATGCTCTACCTGCACATGCTCTTCACATGCTCTTCACACACATGTTTGTTTATTTGTATTTTTCCACGTTGAGCTTTGACTCATTCACCCCCAAAGAAGGATTTTCGGTGTGTCTCAACGTATGCAAATTGCAACTCCTTCGAAGCTGTTTCGAAGCCTTGCAGAAGTTCTGATGTTGCAAAACCATTGGACGACAAGTCCAGCCCCTTGTATGAGCACTGCGCTCTTCAGCCAAATCGCCTGGCACCAACGGCGGCCTGGGCGGACAGGTTTCTGGAGACCTATGATGGACAGTCCTGGCAACAATCATTTGGACGATCGGAACGGGGCACGTTTCTTGGGATCTTCGAACGGGCTTTGATAAATCAACGATAAGCTTCAATCCCAAGAATGTTCGGGAACATGCGACCGTTTCTTTGGATCTTCGAACAACATCTTCGGATCTTCGGGATAAAGCTTCAATCGAAGAAATTGTTCCGAACATGCGACGGTTCGGCAAAATTCCTGTCATGACGTGCTGGGGACAGGGAGCTGGCATCACGGACTCTAGATGTTACAGTGACTGTGAGCCTTGGAATCATTGGTTGCCTTTTGTGTTCTTGAGCTTGTGTTGCGGTTTCACGATGGGAGATGCTTGCAAGAAATTCGCTTTAAAGCAACTCAACCCCGGTTGCCTGAAATTGTGTGAGTGATGCTTCTCTTGAAACAGTTTTTAGTGCAGTTAGATATGATCAAGTTCTGCAATTGAGTAATAGTACACTCATATACACTCGCTGAACAGTGATGGAAGTCGTTGGCAAGGCCCTTTGGACAATTTTCCTCTACAAACAGGTGATGTTCACTTCCATGATTATGTCAAGCAGTTTATATAGTCATTGTTGAATTGAAGATGGAACAGTTCAAACAACGATGAGAAATGGTCCCAGGTTGACATGTTTTAGTTTTTAACCAATGATCGCGTCCAGTATATGACGACGTGCCCCCCCGCTTGCACACTCTTTTTGAATTCTTCAAGAGAAGTATCACCAATACACCGAATTCGCAACGCTTCACAGTGCTTGCAGATGGGTCTTTAATATGGAGTCCCAGCAAGCTTTTCGTTGCAGACGCACTTTTCTTTGACGGCTGATGGGTCAGGCTGATGGCTGATGGGTCAGTGGAAGTGCCAAGGCTGAAAGGGATATCAATTACCCTTATTAGACTGAAGAGAAACGTTGGACGCAAGCTACTTGGTGGTCTTGACACACGCAGGCGCTACCTGGTCGGCCCATGTCTTTTGTAGTACAACCACCACGGCTCAGCCCTTCGAACGTTCCAAAGACTCCCAAGACCGGACCCCACCAGGCCCCGTGGTGGGGCCCCACGGGACTCCAATGCCGAAGAACGGATGTTTTGGGGGGTCCAAGTCTTCAAGTCGTGTCCGTTCGCCATCGTTCGCAACATCGGCAAAAGAGTATCATGGCTTTCAATCACCATCATCCACTGTTACTGGCAATGGATGGCAATGGGATATACCATGATATGCCCAAGTGGTCCCCAAGTCTCATGAGAAGTTTTGCCCCTTCCCAGATGCGTCAGTCATGGTCTTGACAGTCTTTCGACATGCACGTGCCGCGGTCCGTCGCTCAACAGCGCGGAAAGCCAGGGGCCACCGGTCTACGCCGGTCTTTGGACGGTGCGAGGAGAAAAGATAGGCAGCCGGAGGTTGATGATATCCTGCCAGGGCCCTTTTGTGGGTCCATTTGGGCCAGGTGTCCAGCAATTGGACTCCAAAAGAAGCATGCTGAGGGTCAAGCTTGCTGTTGATTTTGTTGCTGCTGCCGACGATGATGATGGTGGTGGTGGCGGTGGTGTTAATGACAAGCAGTAGCATGAGGACTTATGCACCAAAGCCTGTCGCTGAGAGAGTGCTAGAGATCTGACAGACAATCTTTGACCATGGCTTGGAGGAAGCTCCTTGATTATTTACTTGGAGGAACCCTTGAATGACACACTGCAGGGAATTTTCATTATGGCTCTTCGAAGATTCCTCCTACTTTACCCAAAGTCCAACGTCAGGCGCAATGCTTGGACAATTTGTGTTGGCACCTGGTCCGGGGAATGGCCCCCAGCCTGAGGGGTTGCGGTTCCTGGGCGCCCGAGGCCGAACCCCAAGTATCAGGCTTTGTGCAAGTCATTGGGCGTGGGCTCCTGATGTCGCGCGGGTTAACAGCGCCGCTGGAGTGGTGCGTTGGCCACTCCATGAAGAGTGATGTCAGCAGCCCGTCGTGGGTGTGAGATGAGATGTTCTCAAGATGGGCAGATTTCATGAGATGAGGTCTCCAAGCAAACATTTGTTTGATAACATCTTGAAGATGATCCAAACATAGTATATATATATGGTCAGTGAAGATGCTTGGATCTCCAAGCAGACATTTGTTCGAGATGATTTGTTCCAAGTATACTTCACTTTTTTGGAACGTTAGGACCCGACCAGTTGGACTGAGCGACTGGTCCACGTGTTTTGTAGAACTGAGGCGACTGGTCCACAACGGTGTTCCACCACACGGCGACTGGTCTCCAGATCCCCTGAGCAACGATTCTTCCACAAGGCATTCGATTTGAGGAACAGCATGAACTCATGGCCGCCTTACACATGGAGAACGAAGCAGGGCTACAGACTCGACTGACTTAGTCGGTTCCGTCGAGTCTTTGGTCCATTTCTCGTTTCCCTCGTTTCCCTCGGCCCAGCGAGCCCAGCGAGCCCAGCGCCCCTCCCAGGACTGGACAGTGATGAGGATGAGATGCTGCGCGCTTAGAGTGCGAAGCGCGAAGGGAAGTTCCCGCGAATGGTTCGTTCGGATGTTGCCAGGATTGACTCAGTTGGGCTTGTTGAGGGATGCAGTCCGGGATGGCATCAGGGGTTCAATCTGGTAAATTGACGTCAGGCAGTGCCAAACAAGACAGACATCAGAGACATGGGCGGCCCGGGCGTACGGTAATTACTAGCAAATCGTTTGGCAAAGAGTAGGGAGTGTTCACACTAGCCCTTTCATATGTATTTCACCAAGCAGGACAGAAGCAGGACTTTTGCATTCCAAACAGATCATTCGCTGATGAAATCTCTACCAACAATTTCCTATCCATCGACTTGATGGTTCCACCAACCACCCTGCAGTCCTTCCAACTCGTAGCCCTTCTCGCGAGGCCGCTCGGTGACGAGGGGGAAAAGTGGACCGCATGCAGCGTGGATGTGCGGCGGGATTCGAAATCGCCACCTTTTGGGGACACGTGCAGTGAAAGAATGATGGAAGTGGTTGAAAACCACCTGTGTAGAGGGAAATGGTCATTCTATAGGGACCATTTTCGACTTCCAGGGAGTGTAGATGAAAGCTTGGTGGTTGCTGGGATTTTCTTGCTTTGGCAGCAACCCTTGCTTTTGGCGGTGACGAAACACAGGGCGTTTCTAAGACATAACGGTCTATTCTCTCAAAAGAGGACGTGATGTGGCTCTTCAATCAGATGTGTGATGTTTTGTTGGCGGCAATTTCCAGCCACACCCGACAGAAAGATATAGATCTGACCGATTGACCGATTCTGGCGGATTGTGTTGGAGCCGAGTCAAACACCAAAGTCTCCACAGGACAGGCATCCTCATATGAAGTTATAGGTTTGCCTAGCTTTTGAAGCGACACTGGGGCCCGGCATGCAACAAGATGAACACATTCTTCTTCAATCTGCAGATCAAGCCGTTTTGAAGGCTTAACAAGACATTTGAGTTGCGGATCCCGTCGCAGATGATTCAGCAGTTTTTCCATATTGTACAACCGAATTTAGGTGAGTCTATCAATTGATTTCCCACTAGATCTACCAGGATGGGGGAAGCATCAAATCAATACATGCTGGTTCTCAATGGTACTAGCTGGACTTGGTGCGGGAGGAAGCTGGCAAGAAAATATAGCACCTGCAGATCAAGCACACGTTGGAGTCAAGGTCACACAGATATATATATATATTATATATATATACACCTATTATTACCTATATATACACTTTGGATTAGTGCTGTGAAGCCTGTTTCAGACAGTGACTGTTGGAAGATGTTGGAAGCAATGATTCTACATTCTACATGATTCTCATCGCGAGAGTAGGTTGGAGGCCATCGCTATGAGGTTAGTTTCGGGAACCGAAGGTATAAACAGTCGGTTCTGAGGAAAGAACCCGCTGGCATTTGCTCACAGCAGATGGGCTTGACAATTCATTGAGGCAGGCCACTGCTCCATATCGTTGTGGTTCACTGGGAAGTTTAGGATACGCCTTGGCATTTACCGTACCTGTACCACATGATATTTGTATTCTCAGGGATTCACCAACCAAACCAACTCTATCCAAGGGGTTTGCTCCCACAACTTGGAGGTGCTCCCGCCCAAGACGTCAGAAACACACACACAGATGTGAGACACATCAAAGACAATATGTATTAATACAAAAATGTTTGGTTTCGTCCTTCTCTAAACTGTAGCACATTTCTTTTCTGTTTTATTCTTTCGCAGCATGGCGGCTTCTGCGGCTGTTCCGCGTGCCCAAAGCCACGGTGCCAGCAACTTGAACCAAATCGTTTGAGTTACTCTCCATCTGAAGGAACTTCCCATCGTGCGAAGCTCTTCTCCAAACTCGGGTCCTCGGTGTCCCTCCGTGTCTTCGGCTCAGCTGGCGAGGCCGTGCCTACCTCACCTCCCTGGCACGCCTCTTCCGCTGCGGCCGCGCGGGTGGAGCTGCGCGCGGGGGAGCGTCCGGCGCGAGCCCGGCGACTTCCTCGGAAGCCCCGGAGCTTCCGGTGGAAGAAGTGGTGGAAGGCGCGGTGGCGCCGGAGGAAGTGAAATGAAGTGAAGGCCGTTGCATTCGGTTGTTTGATGGTAGGGGTGTGCCACTCCAACTTTTGGGCAGAGACTGGCGCGATGGATTCGGAAACGAAGCTTCATGAAGCTGTTAACTGTTATCTGGAAAGTACCGTTCAAGCAAGTGCCACACGAGACGTTGATTTTCATAGGTGTTCGAGCGGGCACCCGACTCCAGCAGTTTCTGGTTTTTGAAGGCGAAACAACTGGAGACCGGAATCGATCTCCGAGCAACATGAGAAGCTCCAGAGCTTGATATTTCATATCACTATGGGTTGATTGATGCTTCCATGCACCTCCATGTGCTTGATTCATACATGACTTACGCACCTCCGTGGTTTATTGGGGCGAGAGAAAAAAGAAGACCACACTAGTGACCACACTTTATCGCTCAGCGATCCAAATATGAAATCTCAAGTGCCTCCGGCCGCCTTGAGCTGGTCGTGGATCTTCTCCCCAAAAAACACAGTGAAAGAGATATCTGGTCGCCATCTCCCAAAAGACGTGTTCAGTGTTCGTATCTTCGCACCGTCTTCTGGTCGTGGCCCTGGATTTGTAAATTTTAGATGTCTTTGGAGGTTGTGCCACCTCGGTGCTTCAGGCCTATACTCTTTTTTGCTTATAGTTGTAATTACCGAAGACAGCCGGGTATGTATCCCTAAGACATCCTAAGACTGCCAAAACTTGATATGCTTTGTTCGAAACAACCAAAAGTTGCCATACCAAGGAAGATGTAGCATTGTTGATCTTGCATACTCGGGCCATCTTGGGCCAAAAGAGGCCCCGGCTCTTGAGGCCACACCGCGGATGTTGCAGAAGCTTCGGATGCCGAAGCTGTGCTACCAGAGAGGGACCCTGGGGCCGATGACCATCCGCCCTCGAGCATCGGAATGAGCGACCTCCCTGCTTCAAGAGCATCGTTGAAGATGAAGAGTCCTTAAAACCAAACAGACTCAATGGGCTTTGTGATGCTTTGTGATGCTTTGCAGAGCGTGTTTTTTAGGTCATCATCCAAGTAGCTCCCACACGGAACAGTGTTTAAGTTTTAAGTGTGTGCGCGCAGCCAAGGTGAGGAGCAAGATCACAACGAGCATGAACTTTATCCCTCACACCACCAAGCGGTTGACACAGGTGGCTCAAATGGAGATCCTGACGACGCATTACTTGGCGACGGTGAGGCTGCTTCAAGCCATCGGCAAAAGGGCAAAGGCAAGGGTGCCAGCCACGGTGGTTCAAGCCGCAGCTCGGGCATCGAGGGTTCAACTCGGGGTCGCCCAGATAGCCGGGAGAGAGACCGTGACTGGCGCTCCACATCTAGAGCTCGTTCAGCTTCTTTCGACGAGAACCGGTTTTCATCCTGGAAGGGGAAGGGGAAAGCCAAGGGGAAGGGAGGCAGGGGGCTGCAGAAAGGCAAAGGGAAGGCCTTCTGCTGGTATGGCTACGAGTGCTCCCGTGTGGATTGCTGGTTCCATCATCCAGACGGCCGCTCCATCGATGGGCACGGAAGCGAGGAACATGTGCGCGCGGTGTCCGCGGAGGTGTCGCTGGCGCGGAGGGGAGGAGGGGCTTGGAACGACCGGAAAGGAAGAGGGAAAGGGAAGTGCTGGAAGGGCTACGATTGCACAAGGGTAAATTGCTGGTTCGATCACCCAGAGGGCCGGGAGATTGATACAAGGACGAGAAGTTCGAGTCGAGAGAGGTCTTCAAGTCAGCAGCGTCTCACGGGAAGAGAAGCGGGCGCACGTGTGGTCTCGCAAATGGACCCTTTGGTCTTGGAGTTCGCAACGTTTTCTTGCTGTCAGTCTCCCCAGGACTTGATAAACTCTTTGAGTCTTTGAGGGTCAATAGAATGTCTCGACATGCTTATCATCGCAAATCTGTTTGTGGGGGACAAGAGATGACGGTCGAGCACGTCTTCTGGTTTTTGTTGGGGATCGAGGATCTCCATAGGATCTCCTGTCGGGGATGAGCAAACTGGCACAGCTAGGTCCGAACAACAATTCAAAACGTCCGTCATGTTTGGAGACTGAGGATCTCAGCCATGACTATTGCAAACAGCTGAAAGATGGAATGCTCTACCACCTGGCATTCTTCCTTCGAAGATACCAGCTAGTGGGACGTGTCTCCAATCTTCAGCTGGAACTTCTCACCTTTCTTCCAGACGCTTGGCGAACTCAGCCTCACTTCCACCCATGGAGCTTGCTAGTTCGAAAGGCCTGAATGGACAAAACCACTGGAGTTCACTTCATTAGACGCCATGTGGTTTCGCGTTTCAGCTCTGAAAGGCGGCAATTCCATCATTCCATCTTCCAAATTCCAGCTTCGCATTTGCACCACCCAAGTTGTGTCAGATTCCGGTCCTTTCTGGTCCAATCAAACGGGCAATTGGTTTCGGAGTACATCCTACTCCCGGGGTTTGTTGGGTTTCTGCGACGGGTACCTCGACGACGGCTGCTTCAAGCTGGGTCAAGGATCCAGGCTTCAAAACACCCAAAGACCATCAAAGACCCAAATCAACACCCCAATGGCTTGAGACTGACCGGTGTGTTTCGATCGTTGTGTTTCACAAAGACCATCACATGGCAGTGAACGCATTGCATACGCCTTCCAGCTTCAATTGCTTCTCCACAGAATTTGATTTAAATCTTTACATTGCCGTCCGCAGAGTTTCGCCAGTCAACTTGGAACTCCTTTGACTTTAATCGTAGAATCGCAGTCAAAGGCATTTGCTTTTGCTTCTTCAGGAAGGCATCTGGAACTTGGAACAGCTTCATGAGGATATCCAGGTTTGGAGCGGTCGGGGCTTTCTTTGTGATATTTTAGGAGGGAGGCCCAGGCGTGCTTCTTTTGACCGCCCAGAGAAGCAATGAGAAACATGTGTTTGTCTCGCACTAGTGTGCATGTTTTTGGGAAACTTCATGAGACTTTGTTGGACATACCGTCTTTTCGACCCTGCCCATCTTATTTGATTCACCGCGCCCCGAAGTTGCGAAGGCTGTGATGCGAACGGAGGGGTCCTTGGACAGGGAGGGCCTTCCTCGAGGGGTCGGTATGTGCCACGAATCAACTTCGTCACTCATCTTTGGAACCATTGGACATCCACAGATGGCTCTCATGTCTCATTTCTCATTTCTCCCATGTAAAGGGCAGAACGAACTTTGGACTTTGGACACTATTTTTCTGTCTCTTTCTCTTTCTCTTTCTCTGAAGCCGAAGGCAGTGCCTGTGACTTAATCAACCGTTCTCTTTGGAAACCATTTCACTTACAGTGGTTTCAGAGTAGATGGCACAATCACCAAGAGATGGTTTATATGGACCCCCATCTAAAAGACATGTAGGGGTTTGTGCCATTTACTCTGAAATCACTGTAATAAACCGTTCTCACTTCGTTGAACTAGTGCCCAAACAGGTGGAGCTGGCGAGACTCAGCTCCTTACGCGTGGAACTCACGGCGCGGAGAACCCAGTGGACGGATGGGAATGAGCTGCGGAAGGGATCGGATTTGGGAGCTTCTTTGGAGTGAAACAGGTGGGACGGTGGGATGACGGTGGGATGACGGTGGGATGTGCAGAATCCAAATGGTGAGAGTTTCAGATGGTTTGCTCATGTTTGCAATTGAAGGTCCAATGTTTTCTTTGGGGTGCCAAGCTTCAGGAGATTTAGAATGTCATGGAATATCCATTATGAGAGTTCTCCTATATATCCCTTTGGTGGGCCCCCCTACAGGCAAACAATACTGGAAAGACGGTTCCTTTTGGACCATGATAAGCTCATTGTCAAAAGCAATGACTAACAGCACAAACCCGCTCGGAGACTTGGGGAAACGCCAGGGGATCCCATGATTTTTTAGGAAGAAGTGGATCAAGAAAGTGGATCCGCTGGTGCTCACTCCCACCCTGGACCCTCGTGCTTCACTCAGCTCAGGAGCAAATCCCTCTGCCTCAAGCGTTGGTTCCTCGCTTGATGGGGCCTGAAGGCACCCCCACGCCTTACTTTTCGTCGGAAGATGTGGGAAGATGTGAGGGGGCAGGTTGCTTTTTCAGGTTAGCTATATGAATATAGTTGTAATATCAGTTGTAATAGCATATAATTTGTTTATGTAAGACCTTCTAAGAAATGAAAGGAACATGTAGCTTGATTGTAAGTTGGTTGTTGATACGACCGGCAGATTCAAATTTGATCAAATTTGTATGCCATGTTGGCTGCAAGTTGGGACCGAAAGATATATCTCGAATGGTTCCTCTTAGCCAGTTTTTTCGCTGGCTACCTTGGTGACCTGGCTTTGGCTACCTTGGCCACCCTCCGTTCATTTGGAGCCCACTTCTTGGAGCCGTGGAGCCGTCGGGGCCGGCTGTGCAGCTTCAATGCTTGCAAGCGGCGTTTTAGGGCCTTTGGCCCAGAGATGCGGTCACTGTTGGAGAGATACGAGCGTGGCTCGGCCTCCCCATACCCTGCGAACCAGATGCTGCTCGGTGGGCTCGACCCTTCGCGATAAAGGACACTGGCCCTATCATATAATGTGACCCAACTCTCTTTATCGCTGTGTGGAAAAAGCAGAATTCAGCAGCCATTGCTCTTGCGAAGCGCTCTTTCAAGTGCGCGCCCAAAGGAAAGTTCCAATTCCGTGGGTGTCAAGTTCACCCAATGGTTGCGGCGAACTGAGCCACTTGTGTGCAATCCATGAGGGGATCAGATCACGTGCCGTGGCTTGTGACTGGCTTCACAGGTCGAGCGCCAATGCGCGTTTACCTAGGACACCCGGTCTTCATGAGCCTGAATGAAGGCCCTTGTGTGGCTAACGAGATGGACTCCAGGCCTCAATGGTGCGGCGTCAGCAGAGGATGCGCTGGCAATTGAGATTTCAGAGCGCACTGCTGATCGTTGGATGCTAGCTGTGGCGCATCGTGTCCGACACCCCCCCGCCACGACGCAAAAGATTGCGGGGGGTCCAGGCTCCAATCAAAAAGATCTGCAAGATTATGAAGCACTGCATCATACTTCATGGCATATTGACAAGTCACGTTGTGTGCAATTTTGCCGTGGACGCATCTAAAACCGCTATGTTCCCCCAGTTTCTGACACTTGACCCTCATTTCGTGCGAGAGGGCTGACTCATCGGCACATATCGGCACCACCCTCGGCCTAAGAAAGAGAAAGAATGATAACACCACCGAAAAGAGAGGGAGAGAAAGACAGAAATAAAGCAGGTAAGAAAGAAACTATGGAAGACAGAAAAGAAAGAAAGACAGTAAAGGAAAGGAAAGGAAAGCAACTGAAAGAAAAGAGATGAGAGATGAGAGAGAGAGAGAGAGATGTGCAGATGTGAAGCTGTGCATGTCAGGATTTGGACATGTACGGATGCCAAGATAATGCGCAGATCATGAAGATGCGCTGGCTTAGAATATGGAACTCTGGATATGTGCGGATGTGAGTTGTGATGGTATGCAGTGCGCCTGCTTTTTTTTAAAGAAGAACCCTTCGCTCAGGCGCTCTCGCCGGACAAGTCTTGCACCAACAGACTGTGTGCAGCTTTCAAAGGTTGCAGAGGTTTGCAGTGTTCGGCCACCCAAGGTCCACTGCTCCTCAGCGTTTCACTGGTCCTGCTTGCAAAAACTTCCTCCCGGAAGTGCTTTTTCACCGCTGGTCCTGTCGAACAGTATTGTTCTTTTCACCGGATGGAACAGATTTGGAGGTGAGTTGTTGGGGCCATAGAAGCAATCCCATCAAAACGCTTCCTTTGGCTGGCTGGTTTTCTTTGGCTCAGGATGCTCAGCTGGCTTCCCTCCTCGTTGCTTCGTTGCTTCCAGTCTCCAGGTGCCCACATGAACGTGCTCAGCCGGGATTTGGGAGTGCAGGTGCGATTGAGGGCGTCCGGAGGCAGCGTCCAAAGAAGCATCAACCCCACATGGGGCAAACAGGTTGTTGTTGACACGGGAATGGGCTGATGAAATCTAGGACACCTGCAAGCCACTCGTGTCACCTGTTGGAAAAAGGGCTCTTGAAACCTCCTGGAAAGCCAAACAGTTTGGAACTTTTTCATCATGTTTACAACACAAAAAGTTGACACGTTTGCAAACAACAGTTTCTTTGGCACCCCAGGAACGCGAAGAACGCATGAAACAACGCACGAACGATTTCGTCTATAGATGGGCCTTTCTTGGGCAATCTACCATCCCAGTCATCCCAGTTGTTCCATTTGTTGCACTGACCTGGCAAACGCCTCCCACCCGGAGCAAACGGTTGGCCGCTTGGCCCGCGCAGATCACGCTGGAACACGGAGCGGAACCAGGTGTCGGTGCTGAGGAGCGGAGATCAGGTCGACAGAAAAGGGGGGCCTATGTTCTCGGTTATCTCAGTTCAGGCTCAGGCATGCGTTTGCCATTACGCCACGTGTGGTTTGAGTTGAGGTGGGGAAACCTGCAAACCAAAGGTTTTCCCTGTCCTAAGGCACTCCCATATTTCTAGAATAAGGGTGTAGGAACACCCAAACAGACGCAAAAGCGCAGGGTTTTGCCCACAAATCCTTAGAACGATTTATCGTCACAGACGGAGAAATACTGGTCACAGTATATGGGCGGTGGGATGAATGATGCTGTATTTTTTGCCTTTTCAATTCAAACGTTGTCCAGCAAGTGGCTTTCAACATGTTCATGTATCCTTGGGATTCCCGTGCCATGGGCCAAGTCAGACGCCCAAGTGGTGTCCACCCCATGGCACGGATGGCATGTCCTTCGCACACATGTTTGTTTGGATTGTTCGGGTTCGGTGATTAAAGAGGGCCATGTTCGGGACACGGAGAAAAGACACATACACCGAGGTTCCGTGGTGTTTTCAGAACCTGGAAAGTCATGAAGTGTTCAGGTGGTGAATCAGATTAGATGGATGTCCCTGATCAGCAAATCCAGAGGAGCAAACAGCCACAGCTTGGATGGTGGGGGCGCCCGAAGTCCTCTTGGATGCGCGGAGTCTTAGCGAGAACAAGTCACCAGTTTAGAAGTGAATCATAAGTTGTGTTTTATTTTGTTCGGCTTACACGGCAACCATCCCTTGTTTGCATCGTCAACGCAAAGTCAACCAACCAAAGCACCCAACCAGGATGGTGCGTCGTGGGCACTTGGCCGTCAAGTTTTGTTGTCCGTATCGATCCCTTGTGTATTCCTCTGCATGTGTCACGTGATGCTTGCCCACCCACTTGCTGGCAATTCCCAGCGCAGTCATGGTCGCTCTGGAAGGACCTGAGGGATAGTTCAAACTCCTGATGTAGTGTGTGAAAAGGGCTGCAGAGGCAAAGCATACCGAACCTATAATGTCACTCATGAGCTTACCCACCAAATGTTGTCTGCTCTTTAGACACGCAGTTGATTTGGAACATCTCTCACACACACACATGTTCAAGGTCTGATCGTGTCAGAAGTGGTTTGAAGCGCCAGAAGGATGACGTAGCGTCAACATAGTTGTTGTCTACATGCTTCTAACAGCCAGTGTCGCTTGAATACCACGATTTATCACATTTTTTAAAGTCTAAGAGTTGGGGCTTTGTTTACGCATCTGATGTTTCCAGCAGCAATAGACCAGAGCGCCGCATGCTTCACCCGCTTCAGCCCACTTCAGCCTCCCGCGTCCCAAATCGTCCACCCAGTTTCTGGATGGCGACTCAGAGCTTCGGTCGCTGAGGAATGCCTTGGAGAACCATTTGATCTCCTTGTCCACCCGAAGTCCTGCCGATCTGGAAGAACAACTCGCGCACGAACGGCAGCAAAGCGTGCACATCTTTGTAGACAACAGCCACTCGGTGTCCTGCGAGCGACGAGGTCGAAGGAGAGTGAGGGAACGAGGGGTTCTCATGGTGTTGGTCCTCGCTTTTCCTGAAGCCTTGTCACATGGTTCCTGGAAGGAGTACCTCTACTCTTTGGTACCCGTCCTATGACGAAGGGCCTAGAGAAGCGCAGACTCGGAGCGCAAGTCATGTCGGAAGGAGTACCTCAGAATCCCTTGTCTGCACCAAGCAGGTGGAGAACGTTGTCTAGAGGTTGGTTTTGGAGTGCGGCCCGTTGGTCTGCCCCTGTCGGGCACACTTAGAGCCTCCTAAAGGCTCAGGTAGTTAAGCAAAGATAAGCAAAGAACGTAGACCTCACGCTTTTCTTCCAATAGCTCAAGAGATTCTAGTGGCATTTGAGATGGCTGCTGGATTAAGATATAATTATAGCTTCCTGCTTGGGTAGAAGAAACTTTGCTTCCAACTCATGGATCGTGTGGTGCACATCTTCGAAAGAGGTCTACAAGACGGTGCATATCTCCAGGTGCTTCAGCAGTTTCAACATCAGACCCCCTTTTTCCGTGGTTTATCCGTGCAGTGCGCTTTGCACATCAAGAGTGAGAGTTCCCCACGACCCCTGTTTCGGTGCAGCGGCTGAGTGCACATCCCATGTGCAAGGGATGTCTCTTCTGTGAGGCAACATTTGCATCGGGTGCCAGTTGCTGCCCACTGGAATCCGGGACTTTCAGCAACGGATTTACATCAAAGGCTTTACTGGTGCCCTTCAAGGTGTCAGGAGAGCTGGCCCGTGAGGTTCTGAGGGTTGAACGGGGGGAAGATGGACAAGATGTACATGGATGCTGGGCCATGTTGCATCAATTCTTGAGACTTCCGGAGACTATGTGGGCTGGGACTCTTGGGGTTGAAGATTTCATCTCTGAGACATGCGCCGACCTTTTAGGTTCCTCAGATGTTCTGCAACAGCTTCTGCGTCTTCCTCGCGTCTAGGACGGTGCAGCGGCGCGTGGTGATGGGCTCTCGCCCCTCGGCGCCCTCGATCTGGGCGGCGTGGAAGCGCGCCGGCTACGAAGTGCAAACCGCGCATCGTGCCTCCCCTGGAGTGGTCGGAATGGACGGCTGGAGACGGCTGGAGTGGTTGGAGCGTCAACCAGTCGGGAGACGAAGTGAGCGTGGCACCAGGATCATCACTCCCTCCTCACTCCGCCACAGTGACATGTGGGTTTCAGCCAACCTTGCTCGAGTAGAAGGTGTCAAGATTTCAGAGCGGAGTCTTGAAAAACATGTGCCGGATATTACCGGATCACCTGGTGTAAACTTCACTCACCCACAGTAGCACATCGGCTTCAGCCAGTGAGTTGAGGTCTCCATCTTTGTACAGCATCTGGCACGGCAGGGGCGATGTTGGTTTTAGAGAGTGTATGGGATCCATTTTGTTTTGGTACAAAGGTATCATGAATGAATAACATTAGGTCACTGGTAACTCCACTTGATTCCCAGGAATCCTTTTCAATCCGCTAGGATACAAAGTCTGGTGGACTCACCAATTGTTTGTGTTCTCCTCACCTTTCTTCCCTTGTCTCACCTGTCCCGAATCAACGACTCTTCAACTTGACAGACCGAAAATCCACCAGCCCAGCCAACAGACCGAACGGTCACAGTGTGGTATTTTCAGGCGTGGCGTTGGGTGAGGTTCCATTTCTTTGGGGTTCCCATTTGGGTGAGTCCGCATGGTCTGGTTCCGTTTCTGAACTGCCCTAAGAATCAGGACCCGTTCCGCACGGGTCGGGCCGTGCTCTGGCCCAAGGTCGGTCCTTCCTTGGGGTGTGCGGTGCATATCCGGCTGGCGTAACCGGCGAGGTCCCATAGGTGGTGGAAGTGCTAAAGAGGAAGGTTGATTTGGGAGATGAAAATCTGTGGGCTAGCGCTGGGGGCAAGACCACCTCCAAACAGGCCACAACAATCCAGAACACCATGGAAACACATGATGGAACAAATGGGATTGCGATGGGTGTGTTGGTGTGTTCACCGCTTGCATCACTGCCTGGATTTGGCCATCGCCATCCCCCAGGTGATCCGAGAAACCGTGAAGAGTTTGTGGATGGTCGTCTTGTAGGAGCGTCACTCCCGGGCTTGCGGCCCTGAGCCTCAGCTCTTGTTTGGAAAAAGAGAAGAAGGGTACCAGGAAGCTGGATGGAAGATGATCAACAATTTCTTGGCACAATCCACTTACCAAGACCCCTTCAAAAGAAAATCAAACACACCAAAATTGGTATTCATGCAAGTCTCGTCTCTGTTGGGAGACGGAAAATCAAGACGGATGTCGTGGGCTAATGTTGTTATTTTGACATATTTTTGCCTCACTTGGGCCCAGGGTGATGATTCTTCTGATCCTCAACTCAGATGGCAAACATGTTTGTGACATATCCTTTCTTTGGCCGTCTTTTTCGCGGCGTCGAGTTCGTCCGGGGGTTTCCGCGGTCGGCGGACTCGACCCGCCCGCAGCACCCGCAGGAGAAGCCTTGATGCATGTGCTGCGCTTCCCTCGTTGTGACGACGATCATGTGCTGATCCTGGCGACGGGGGATGGAAACCTTGGAGGTCAAGCACCCAATACCGCCGCTGGGGAAGAAGAAACAAGGCGAAAGAGGAGGAGACATTGGGATGATGATGGATGATGGGAATTAGGGACATTTGGGACGATCTTTGCTTGAAGCAAGAGAATGAGGGTGCATGGTGCATGTCAGGTCTGATCATGTGTCGCGCCCATGAACACCTGAAAGAAGACAATATCATTGATGACAGTGACTTGCTGGAGACAAGCCTCAGGAACGTGTAGACACACACAACTTTCTCCAGACCACCAAACTACACTCCTTTTTGGTTCATTCCGAACTTCTAAGGGACTTAACCATGCGCGAAAACCAGCTGCCCCCATGCGCTATATACTATATAGGGTCGGTTCGTTGCTTTGCTTTGTGCTTTGCACCGCTTGGGGCGTTCCACGCGTTCCACGTTCTGGTGTTCGGGTTGTCAACGGCCGCCCGAGGCTGGAGCCAACTTCCAGAACTTGGTCCAGACCGTCGCGGAGGGTCGCGTGCCGGGCTGGAGCGTGGAGGTCTGGTGTTGGCGCTCCAGCTGCCATGGAGTCTACAAGAGGACAACGGGTGGGAATGATGATGAATGGGAGATGGGTCTGAGACCACAGGAGATAGGCTGGAGGATCTTTCTGAGCAAAACATAGCAAAACCAAGAACCTCTGTATGATTTTGTTTTGTGTTTTTCACCCTTGGGGAGTTGGAGTTGTACAAGATTTGCCGATCAGGATGGCCAAGGAAGGCCAGATTCGGCTTTGCTTCCTCGATGGTCTTCGAAAGCAGGCGGGCTGAGGTCTCCCCAACGCGGAAAACACCTCGGCCAAGGAAGAAGAGTCAGCGTCCAAGTATGGGTTCCAGTTGAGTGAAGAGTGGAACGTGTGAGGGTCAAAGAGTGCCAAGTGTTGGTTCGTCCACAGCTCAAGGGGAGGAATCCGACCCATCCACCGGTCCTCGTCCAACCCTAAGAGCCGCAAAACCGCTGCTCCTTCGGGAACGGCCGCCTGTTGCGGGTGGCTTCTATCCGGGTGGAAGGTCGAAGAGAGCAAGACGTGAGGAGCTTTCGGAAGAGTCGAAGATCGCCTCAAGAATCTCCCTCTTCTTTCCCAACAGAGGTTGAAGGACCCGAACTAGACTATCCCAGTTGGGTACCCCAGGTTACAGGTCCTAGTTCAGGTCACTTAACCTCTCTTGGTCTGCATGGGAAGTCCACCACGTCCCCACGTCCCGTCCAGAGATGAGAAGACCTGCACATAATCCAGGATTCCAGGATGGACCACAGGAATGGGCTGAAAAACACTCCTAACGGAGCAATCATAACTATTAACATATGCATTGACTGCTGGCAGCTGGTCAAAGTGCCTGCGTGCCTGGAGCATACGCCAAAGAAGATGTGAAGATATCAAATGGATTCAAATGGTCTGCCAAGTAGCGAGATCGAGGTCCCGGAAGTCCGGAAGCGGTTCTTATTCACAGCGCTTGTGGTGGGTTCATATCAATGGCCAAATCAATCTTGTCTACTGTATACGGGACCTGAAGGATATTATTGGCACACAGCTTTTTAATTTTAAGACAAGGGCCTGGCGTTTGAATCTTTGGATGTTTCTTTATGGTAGATGTCCATGACCTGTGGTTCAAGATGCTTCAAGAAAACATTGATCAACACCTGATTGTATAGTTAGGCTATGTTAGGCTATGTTAGGCTCTTAAAAGACTTGTAAAGGCTGTTAAGACTGGACCTCACGTCTGATGGCTTCTGACCTCACTCTCGTTTCTCCAGGTCACCATGACTGCCCGTTCCACGGCTGAGCTCGTGGCTGACCCCTTGGCCCCGGAGGACCAACACGTTCGCCGTGGTTTCAGCGGTCGTCCTGGATCGGTTCCATGGCGGACATGGTGAAATCCTCCCACATGTCAAAAACACTGCTCCCCCCCTCCCGCTAAGATAAAAGACTCCGATGTCATGTTTTTTTTTTGTAAGGAGGGGTCCCCAAATAGGGGACCCACGATGATGGAAAGCTGGGAAGAACTTCAAAATCGAAAAGTCGCCTATGACTATGAACATTTAGTTGGAACATTTGTACATGAGACATAGCCACCTTTGACCGATACCCTTTTTCACTCGAACCGGATCGACAGGGATCCCTTGGCCGCTAGCTGAAAAGTCTCCGCTTGTTTGGTAGCGGAGCCCTGCTTCGGCGGGGCTCCGAGCGCCATAGGCTGCCGGCGCTGGCTTCCAGCGCGCCTGCCGTGACCGCAGGCCACCCTTTGCGTTGCTTCAGGTGACACCACGACGACTCTCACCTTCCTGATCAACGTGTGTATCACGGCGCTCTTGGCGCTCCTTGTTTCTCCCTCCTGCTGGCTGATAGCAGGAGCACCACTGCCTGTTGAGCTCGCCCCAGGTTCTTTTTTCAAGCTGCGAGTCCCGACCTACCCGATCCAGGACCTCAAGAGTGTGATCGTCGAGCTCGACTACAGAACTACACCTCCAGGATATCTCCCTGAGCTCACCGATTACAAGGTCCCTGTCGAGGAGAATCGGTCCTACGCCCATCCTACATCAGTGATGGCGGCTACAAGCTCGACCTTGCAGTCCGGAATTCCATTGACGGAGTACCGGAGGGACTGTCCGCCCGGTTGGGCCCCTGGCCTGCCGGACTACCCGCTTCGAATGTTCTTTGAGAAACTGAAGTTGTGGTACAGGATCTATGAAGGCCCCGACGAATCAGTGGGCCCTCTGGTGGCAGGACGATTGCAAGGACGAGCCCAAAAGATTGCCATGAATCTTCGTGTCATCCGCCCTGATGGGAACTATGACGTTGGTGACAGCGCTCTTGTCCGACTCACTGTGGACGAAGTTCGCGATCCTATGGATCCCAATGTAATTTTGCAGCCTCACATCCCGAGCGGAGTCTCCGTGCTGGCTTCCGCTCTACGAGAAGCATTCGGTCAGAGTGACCAGGAGCTCACGACTTCGGCTTTGGAGGCCTTCTTTGAGCTCCGACGTGGAAAGCTTTCGTTCCAGGAGTACTCCGCCGAATGGGATCTTCGCTATGAGGAAGCACAAATGAGGGCTGGCCTTGATGTCAACGACGTCGCCAAGACCTACCTCTTCTTCCGCCACAGTGGACTTCCTTCCAAGTTCGTGGAGGACGTGAAACTCCAGATTCACGGAGACATGAGTCGCTTTGCTGAGGCTCGACGACTTGCTCTCCGTCTGAGCAGTCGCAGTGAGAATCAGTCACTGTCCCACGACCTCTATGCCGAGCACCAGCACACCAACGACCATGCCGAGAACTACCAGACTGACTATGATCCGTGGGGTGCATGGCATGGCACTGAGCAAGACTGGACGTACTATGATGAATGGAGCTCAGAGCCATGGTACGATGATCCATGGTATGATGGCCCCACAGAAGAAGTCTGGTATGACGCCACTGAACACAGCTCTCCGGATTGGCACAGCACTGCTGAAGAATATGACATGGCTGCAGATGACCTTGAGAACTCCGAGGACTACTACCAGGGCTCCAACGATGGTTGCTTCATTTGTGGCTCTCGTTATCATCGTGCAGCTCAATGTCCAGCCAATCACGGAGGAAAAGGCAAGGGCAAAGACAAGTTCGGAAAAGGCAAGAAGAGCAAAGGCAAAGGAAAAGGGAAGAAAGGCTTCCGATCCAAGGGCAAAGGCAAGAGCAAGTACAAGGGCTACTATGAGGACTTCCAGGACTACACCACCTATCGTCGTCAGCCCGACTATGGTCTGTCTCTGGAAGCTCAATCGCCCACGAGCAATCGCACTGACAAGACACAGCAGTTGGTGCAAGTCACTCCACCACGCAGGGAGGAGATCTTTGCCTGGCGAGGTCCACCTGCTGAGACATCGACTACAGAGACAACAACAGAAGCAGCAGAGCAGCCACGGAAGCACCTCTCCTTTGCCACTACTTTGCACACGAACCACTGCACCTACCACACGGTGCAAGGACAGAAACGACGTGGCCTTCTGATCGATCCAGGTGCCGCTGCGGGCTTGGTTGGCAGTGAGACGCTAAGAGATCTTCTCGATCACTGCTATCCGAATGCCAAGAACGAGACGATCTCATGGTCCAATTCCACCGCCACCATCACAGGCATCAGCGGCTGTCCAGATCGAGCCATTGGACGTGTACACCTCAAGCTTCCGTTCAAGGGCCTGGATGCTACCTACACGGCCGACGTGATAGGCAAGGAAGGCTCACTCTGCCCAGCTTTGGTTGGCAATCCGGCACTTTGCGAAATGAAGGCATCACTGCATTCGTGTTGGTTTGACAACAACGACGGCCTTCTGGTGACCTGGACGTCTACCTCTCAGAGCTCAACCATGGCAGACATTCACCTCTTCAGATGTCTGCTGACAAATTCCGGTCACTATCTTCTGCCTTTGGATGATCAAGCAGCCGCAGTACATGAACCACAACATGACGTGTGCCACTTCATTCGGCAGATCTCTGAGATGTCCAAAGCTCATTGGCCAGATCATTCCTACACGTTCTGGCAACAGGTCACCCAGGCAGCAGCAGACCCAGGACAGAAGTGGAGGTCCGCAGAGCCGACATCTTCATGTACCACGACAGTTGAGCCTGCGGATACAACTCAAAAGAAAGAAGTGTCCTTTGCCGAACCTCTTCATGAAGTCCGTCAACTGCTCGATGATTCCGCACCAGAAGAGGCTCCAAAAGAGGAGCGTGTGAAAAGTGAAGAAGTGCGTGTGATAAGTGAAGATTTTCCGAGACCAGCAACAGAAGAGATTCAGTCCTCTGACCTCACTGAGGAGATCTTTGCCATGAACCTGAGTGATCTGCCTCTCTACACTCAGGATGAATATCCAGAACATCTGACAGCTGAAGAATGTCAACGACTGAACAAGGACTACAAAGCAATGCCTGAGGAGTTCTATGTGAAGTCAGGACGACGAGTGGTCTCTCCATCCACCCACGATGGATCAAAGAGGCAAAGCGCAACAAGACCAAGTGGCATGGCTGGGAACTATGTTCAGGTTCTGGACGCTTCACATTGCTATGCGTGCTTTCTGGCCTATCCATGGGCTTTCCAGTTGACTTCAGGTATGGCTGGGATCTTGGCCTACCTGAGCACCAGAAGATGCTTGATGAAGCCTACGATGTCTGTCGCCCAGACTTCCTGATGTGCACTCCTCGATGCAAGTTCTACAGCATCTCCTCATCCAGGCGAGACAGACGAGATCTTCTACGAGATCGTGAGAAAGAGAGACCAGCACTGGTTTACATGCAGAACAAGCTGGCCCAGCAAGTTCAGAGAAAGAAGTACTATGTGCTGGAACAACCATGGAGTTCAGCTATGTGGACAGAAAGTCTAATGATCCACAACCAGCAGTTCCATGGATACCGGAAGGCAAAGAGGACAGATCAGTGCGCCTTTGGAGCATGTGATGAACATCGGCAACCTGTGCTCAAAGCCACCAGCCTTGAGGCCAACTTCAAGCTGAGAGTAGCTGTTCGCCGATGCAATGGCCATCGAGGAGTTCCACACACACCTCTTCAAGGCCAACACAACGGCATCAATCGAACAGCAATGGCAGCAGTTTACCCTCAGCGCTTTTGCAAAGCACTCATCGAGGACGTCATCCACACCATTGCTCCTCATGGTGGCCTTCGACCTAAGATCCTGCACAGCTTGGCCCAGACAGCAATTTACTACAAGTGTGAGCGCTGCGAGTTGGGACGTGCTGCTCTTCCTGGAACAGAACACACCTACATTCCAGGAGAATGTCGTTATGGAAGAAAGCTGGAGAAGATGGCAACTGCAGCTCCATCGACACCGTCTATGGCATCGTCCCCTCTGGAAGACTTCAAGAGAGCCGCACGCTCGCATGCCAATGCCAAGGCAGTCACTCTGACAGCGCCTGCTGACTACAACTTGTCTCCCGAAGATCAAGTACATCTCAAATACTTGCTGTGCAAGATCGTGGAGGACAGCATGTCCGTCTTTGAAGCTGCCGGTGGAAAAGAATATCACTACTGGCTCACTGATCCATCTTTGATGATGGCGGCCAAACACCTCCTCAGAAAGATCCTCTACGTCTTCAGAATCCACGTGGTGCTTCACCCATTTGCCAAACCATTTCCAGAGCCTCACCTCTCTGCAGAACAAGCGCCACTATGATTGATTTGCCGGGGATCCTATGAATCATGGCAAGTTCACTCCATCGAGGATCTGAGAGAACTCTCAGCCTCCCAGCAAAGGGAGGCCATCGAAGAAGAGAATTGGCTGATTGCATTTTTCGGCAGTTACGATCCTCCAGCATCTGCAAAGGGAGCACCTCAGACTCCATCCGGGACATCCGCACCGATGACACCAATGCCACAAGCTGCATCAGAATCACAGGCCATCGTTCCACGACAGCCAGCTGAAGATCCTGCACGACCATCCTCATCTACAGCCATGATGCCCTATGAAGGAGTCGACACAACAGCCATCGAGCTTCGAAGCATGAAGCCCCTCTACAGCATTCGACGTGTCCTTCATCGACTACCTCTAGAGATCAAGAAAGACACAGTGGCTGCTCGACGCCTCCTTCTCGGGCTACATGAAAAGATGTGGCATGCCAACGCCACGGATTTCTCCAACCTGCTCCTCAGAGCAGGGATGCCTCCTGAAGTAGTGCAAATGGCTCATGAAGCAGTGGCATCATGCCCTATCTGTCGACGATATGCACGACTACCAGCCAAGCCAAATTGACTAAGGTCTCATTGGCAGCACACTTCGGCGATGAGGTGGAGATGGACATTTTCTATCTGTGGTCAAAGCCCTTTGTTCTCCTCATCGACGTGGCTACGCGCTACAAGGTGGCGTACCACACCAAGTCACGGGAGACAGAAGAACTGCTGCGTGGATTGCTCCACCATTGGATTCGCTACTTTGGTCCTATGCGGGTCCTCACTTCAGACCAAGAGAGTGGCTTGATGAGTCCTTCAGCAGCAGTTGAATTCGAACGCCTGAACATAGAGCGAAATCCCAAGGGCACCACCTCGGGCGAAGCAGGCAAGCAGCGCACCGGAACAGGCCTCATTGAGCGTCACATCAGCCTCGTGAAGCTCACCATGCAGAAGGTCAAAGCTGAGTGTGAACGCCAGTCGTTGGAAGTTGAAGATGAAGACATAGCTGCTGAGTCATGCGTGAGCCAGAACATGACTATGACCTATGGAGGTTACTCGCCATCCATGGCAGTGTTTGGAGTGGTTCCTCGTGCCTTCTATGAGTTCGAGACCCCGAACATCACTGCAGTCACTGGAGCACAAGATCGAGATCTTTCTGTTTTCGAGACTGCAATGAGATTGAGACAGATCTCCTTGACAGCAGTTCAGCAGTCAATCATGGAGGATCGCCTGGCACGAGCTAGCCACACTCGAACACATCAACTGGATCTGTCTCAGCTGACTCCTGGCACTTCTACCATTGAGGTATATCGAGATGGTGCTTGGAGAGGACCAGCCACACTCCTTGAGGCCAATGCAGATGAGGGCACATCCATTGTCAAGCACCAAGGCAGACCATACCTCATGCCGCTGCGCTTCATCAGACCCTTCAAGGGCGTGTTCTACAACGTGGACACTTGCGCAGAGTCCATGTATCAGTTGATGCAACTGGTCGAAGAAATCCAGCAGTACAAGCAGATGGTCCTAGGCTACAAGCGAGTCATCACTCCTGATGGCCTACAGTGGAAGACTCTGCCGGCACAACCATCTGAAACACAACAACGAGTTCTTCAGCACTTCACTCAATGGACAAGTTGGCTGCAGCACAACATCCACGGCATCATCTATGGCCAAGCCTTGAGGACAGTGACCCCTTTTCCTGGCACCAGGGGCACTTTGTTTGTCTGGCAGAAAGGGACAGCCAACTTCGTGAGAATGCTGAAGCAAGACGATCAACAAATTAAATGAGGATGAAGAACCTCCATGAGGCCCAATGGGAGCATCTGTGCGTTCTCTACATCTACTACTACCCCGAGACGTTTGAAGAGCCTGCATCCAGATCACCGGCATCAGCTCCGGAACGGGCACTTCAGATGGATCCAGATGCACCACATCCTCCAGCCATCGTGCCTGATGATACATCCATGTCAGAAGCTGCAAGTGTACCAGTTGAACGCATGGAGATGGAAGATGCGCTGTCATCGGTCATTCCACAGCTACCTCAAAAGAGAGAGACACCACCATCACCGACGCCAAGCACAATGCCACTACCGGAGAAGAAGCTGCGACTTGACCACCACACACAGAATGAGAAGAAAGACTTGAGGTCACTTGCATTGACCAACGAATTGGAAGGACACTTCTCCATTGTCACCAAGGAGTACCAGAATTTGCACACTCTCCACTGGCTGATGGATCGACAACGTCGACACCGCCTTTACACCCAAGATCTGTGGGAAGAGTGCTATGTGACGCCTAAGTGGTATTGCAATTTGACAATGAAAGATGTCCTCATCAAGTCGCTGCATCAACATGCTCAAGTACATCGAGTACATGAACAATACCTGGTGCACTGGCCCGGACACAAACACAAGACTTTCTTTGTGGACATGGCGTCCGGCGGCAGTTTTGCTTCAGTCACAGCAGAAGACAACATTGCCGAAAAGGACCTGCCATCAATCTGGCCACAAGTTGAAGAGGCCGATGCCAAGGAGATTGCACAATTTGTCCACGAAAAGGCCTTTCAGAAGATTCGACTTTCTGAAGTACCTCCAGGCACAGTGATCGTTGATGGCACCTGGGTGCGACGTTGGAAGATGAAGAGTGGATCACGCATCATCAAGTCCAGAATGTGTGCCAGAGGATGCTTTGATCCTCAGAAAGATTCACTGGCTACAAGATCCACCACAGCCTCACGGTTGTCACAGAGGATTTTGATGTCCACAGCAGCAGTCATGCACTCAGACCCAGAATCGTGGGATGTATCAGGCGCTTTCCTGAAGGGATTGTCTTTTGATCGCATCCGAGAGATCCTCCTCAAGCAGGGCATCAAATCTCCAGCTCGTGCAGTGGTACTGATACCACCATGGAACACTTGGCGCCACCTGGCTGCGGTCGACAACAGTTTCCAGGTGAATCCAGAAGACATTCCACTGTACGGACTATGGTGCCTTAAGCCCATCTACGGCCTGAATGACGCCCCGGTTGCATGGCAGCTGTCCTTGGGCGAGTTCCTCAAGAAGACCAAAGGCCATCCAAGCAAGCTAGATGATAGCTTCTTCTTTTGGAAGGATCCACGAGCAGATCAACCTCTTCTTGGAGCGCTCACCACTCATGTGGACGACCTTGCTGTTGTGGGATCGAAGAAGTTCAAAGACCAGCTGTTCAAGGCCATGTGCGATGAGTTTGGCCAGATCTCACGTGATGCACTTCCCTTTGCGCATTGCGGCTGTCAGTATTCCAAGACCACCACAGGCTACTGCATTGATCAGACTGCATTCGCCTCTCGTCTGAAGCCATCAGACAATCCAGAAGGATCTGACGAACGAGATCTCACTCCGTCTGAGCTCACACAATTTCGCTCAGTCCTAGGAGGACTTTTGTGGCTCTGCAGCACCCGTTTGGACATTGTGGCCGAAGTTGGAACACTGCAGTCCGTCATCACCAAAGCCAAGGTCAAACATCTTCGACAAGCGAATCAGTTGGTGAAGAAGGCATGTGCCAAAGACAAGTTGAGCCTGGGACTTCATTATCGCTTCTTTGAACCCGGCACCAAGATGCGACTTCAATGCATCCATGATGCGAGCTCTGCATCAAAGGACACAAGCTACGCCCAGGAAGGCATGATGATCCTGCTTATGCCCGAACTGCCTCCAGAGATGCTGAACCAGGACGACATCACATGTGGTGAACCAGAGATTCAACATTTGAGCAACTATGGTCATTTGCTGTTTGCCCATGGAGGAAAAGCAAAGCGTGTGTCCTATAGCACCTCCCATGCAGAGACACTATCTGCAATTGGTGGCCTGGAAGCGAGCAGCATGGTGTCCATTCGTATGACAGAACTTTGGATTCCTGAACCAAGTCCATCACTCAAGCTGCTCACCGAATACCAGGAACAGGGCTCAACAGTCTTCCCGGTGGATACGGCAACAGATTGCCGTGACTTCTTCGAGTTATGCACTGGAGCTCGCTCAGTACCTCAGGATAAGCTGCAACGGCTATATATCCTAGCTTTCAAAGAGGCAAGAGCTACAGGTCGGCTTCGCTACATCATCCTCACGCCCACCGAGTACATGTTGGCAGATGGACTGACCAAAACGATGACAGCGCCCAAGCTCCTGCAGTACCTCAGTACAGGCTACGTTGAATTTGGCAACGTTGACAAGCACTCAACGCTCCTTCGTCGCCTTCCTGTCCTACATGATCTCACGGAGAATGACCTCTACAAGAGTGACCAAGAACTATGGGAAGAGACATGGAAGGGGAGAAAGACTTCAACGAGTACAAACTTTGCCTTGATGACAGTTTTGGGATTGACCCAAACTATGGCGGCAAAAGTCTGTTTGGCCTTCACCATGTTAAGCCTTGGAGCACAAGCACAAGTACAAGAGCCAGTTGAGACGCCAGGAGATTGGATGTTTTGGATCTTCATCGTCCTAGCGTACCTCGGGCTACGAAGCCTTGAAGGCATTTTGACATGGGCTTTCCGCAAGCCAGAAAAGACGAGAAAGAAGGCTCCACGTACACCTTCACCTTCATCGAGCGAATCGCCTATGGCAACTTCCCGGCCGATGAGAACCACGCCTTCACCGTCTATCGAAAGGAGGACACTCAGTCCTGAGTTTGAGCTGAGCCGACGCTCAAGCGGCTCGAGCTTGCAGATCCCAGACAAGATCTGGGTGACGACCACAGGTGACACCTTTCACCTGAGCCCGACATGCAATGGGCTGGCACGAAGCAACAAGGCCTCGGTGAAACGCTTGTGTAAGCACTGCAGCAACAGACACCAGGCCAGCAGTGGAGTTGGAACATTTGTACATGAGACATAGCCACCTTTGACCGATACCCTTTTTCACTCGAACCGGATCGACAGGGATCCCTTGGCCGCTAGCTGAAAAGTCTCCGCTTGTCATTTTGTAGAAAGAACGACCTTCAGATCGAAAGGTCTTCCTTTTCCCTTTAGAGAAGCCTTTATTAGAATATTGATTCTTCGACATTCTTCACTTGTAAACTTTCCATCAGATCAACAACATCTAACAACTAAGTAAAAGATGTCGAAAGGTGATGTCGCTGTGCCAGGCGGTTTGCGAGGCCTGGGTGGAAAGCACATTTCTGTGGCTCCGTGCCATTGGGGGACAGTGCAAATGCATGTATAAATGCTGCATGTCGCTAGCGAGGGGCACGATTGGTTGTGATTCTAGTGGGTGGGCACCTAATAAAGGAAACTCCAAGCAACATATCCTTGCGTGTAGTACATAGTAGTACAATAGGAAGGCAGTCATTTAGAAACAAATATAGACGACTGTATTTAGGGGTCTCCGACATGTGCCTTCTAATTGGGTAGTGCTTTTGAATAGGTGCTTGGGATTATATATTCAGTTGCGGCGGCTTGCCCCTCTTCAGGGCCCTGATTCAGTTGTTGGTCTCTTGGAAGAGGGTGCTGTTAAGGTACGGTTCTTCAGATTTTGGACTCTATTATCCTCATCAGATAGCGGAGTGGTTTAGTAAAGGAGTTTGTTTGAGTAGAGGAGTCGGTTTGACACAGGCATCATATACAACAATCCTTTGATCTGACGCTTGAGGACACTTGTGTGCAGTGCTTGCAAGCGGAGCCAACGCATGCATTCTACCCCTGCATCTGGTCAGCGGAAGTCTGGGGAAACAAAGATCGGGCGAAACAGAGTGTCCTGACATCCGTTCGTAAAAGAACTTGGAAGACTAATTCTGACTGGTGCTTAGCAGGGAATGAGGGAATGGATCCAATAGAATCTCTATTGGGGGCTCATTCCCTTATTCCCTACTAAGCACCAGGCAGAATTGTAGAATTTGGGTCTGTCCTAGACCTGTAACACTATTTTTTGAACAAGGCCCTTACTAACCATCATCATCCACTGTTACTGAGGAATAGGATAGACCCAATGTAGAATAACTAATCAAACCCCATATGAAGAGGTTCTCAGTCCAAATGGGGGTTCTTTGAATCAACATTCTACATTATGAAGACATGACTTCCCCCCGTAATCCGCAGATGCCGGTGTCACGGACGACAGACATGCTAAGTATGTAGATTTGGTGCTCCTTCCGCGCCGACGGGGAGTGATCAATTATTCGAAAATAAGGACTGAAGAAACCCGATCAATGGGATCGCTATGGTTAGCCATTTCGGATAATCTTGAATTTCAACTGAGGCTGAGGCTGGCCCAGATGAGTTGATGTGTTTCAGCTGAGTATATGAAAGTGGAGGTGTGTGTATTCAATATACTATTACGTACAATATTCTAACTATAGATACTATAGTTATATGCGAGATCCTTTGCTGCTGTTGTTCTGGTGCTCCTCTGGCCGGAAACAACACAAGGCACTCATCGAGTTCTTTGCGCCTTGTGCGCAGCGGAGACACGCCCACATCTCAACACTCATCCCCTAGGCCGGTGGCGTCTTGGCGGGGAACTGGACAAAACCATGCACCGGCAGTAAGTGTATAATCAAGTAGTTTGCACATGTCCTGAAGTGACACATAGATGAGCCTAAGTGCATTTGAGTCATTTGAGTGATTTCCATTATTTTTTGGAGGTTTAACTAGTAATTCTGCCTAGAGTCACCAGGATCTGCTCCCGAGGTTCTAAGCGTGCACTTTGCAGGTAGGCAACTCTGCCCATGGAAATCACCGAGTTTAGAAACAGCTTGGCTTTGGAACGTGGCCGAATAATCACAACCAGGGCGGCTTGGCCTTTAAAAAGGGTACGTGGAACAAACCACCAAAAGCATCTCTCAGAAAGGCTTCACAGCAAAAAGAAGTGACCATCGGAATCGTCCTTCTTCCTTGGCCAGGCCTGTGCTTCATTTGCCGCTGCCCTTGGCAAGACATCCGCGTGGCAGAGCAACGAATGACCATTTAAGCCGCCGCTCCTGGCCAACGATCCACAGATCCTGGACGTTTGCAACAGACGGATGTGAGGCCCCTAGGCCAAGCGTTGGAGCTTCGGAGCGTCGGGCCGGGCACCTGAAGTGGACTCCGCAAGGAGACTTGCCCCGGTTTTGCTTAGAGGATTTGCATGGATTTGATATTTACGGCGTGGATGAGTCCGCTGAGAAAGTTGTTGATGCATGTTTATGCAATTTCTTTTTCCCCCGTTTCTTTGTGCTAATTATCATTGAGCAAATCTCAGTGGCGCTCGACACCACCCTGGGGACCTTCAGTAGAAGTGGGTGTGCTTTTCTGTGAACAATATGAGCAGAGAAATGATCGGGGCTGCATCGCTTCTTTTCGAGAAGATCTTCATGTCAGAGACACTCCAAAATGATCCAAAGATGCAGGTCCATCAATTGTGTTGCATGGGGCCATTGCGGTGTTGGGCTTAGGACTCGCACGACCAGGGATCTTTTTTTCTGCGGAGAGGAAATCCCCAAGGCATCTGAAGGTTGACATCTGTTAGTCTGTCTGAGGTCTGAGGATTTGACATCTGTTTGTCATTAGATGTCATCTAATGTGACGTGGCATTGGGGCAACCAAGGATTGGTACTCCTAACATTTGATTGACCCACTCCTAAATCTCCTGGTTCAGACTCGATTTTTGGCCCAGCATGGCATGCGTTGTCCTTTCATGTCCTTTCATTTTTGGTTAGGGTCTTGATCTTTCCCTTCAGAGGCGGGTCAACTTTCAGAGCAGAAGACATGTTCGAACTTTCATTTAAGATAGGATACCTGTGATGACAAGTGTATGCGATGAACATGAGAGGGTTAAAAGGACAACCACTGCAATCCACAGGTTGACATTTTGTACCATAAGATCTACTAGTAACAAGAAGCTACTAGTAACAAAGGGCATCGCTACTAGGACGCTATGAGGTGGAGGCCATCGCACGTAGGTTGGAGGCCATCGCTACTAGGAGCAAGAGGACGCTATCAAAACATATCATGGAAGTGGGTGGACCATGGCCGAAACAATGACCATGTTCCGAATACCAAAAAGGATGGGTTTCCTCCAACAAGCGGAAGAAGAGACAAACTGATCAGGGCGAATGTGTCCCTACAGACCTGGGGTGATTTACAGGGGTCAATGTAGGTAAATAGAGATAGAAAAGTAGGGGACCCCACTCAAAAGGTCTTGGAAACTGTTTCTGTAGTTGTTTCTATCTATTTGGGGACCACTAGACATATTGCAGTCCCTGCAGTGTTTGGGTCAGAGATGTATCCGCTTCCAAGGTGCTGGTGAACCACGAGAGCGGGCCAGGTGGGGATGCAATGGGTACAACGGAACGGATGTTTGACTACAATGAATAAGCAGTCCGCGTGCACAGGTGGTTGGATAAGTTATTAGGGTGTGTCCCATTACGAGTAACAATCGGTAAAAGATGATCATTATTTTTGAGAACGGCCTCTGCTAACGATCATCATCCACTGTTACTGATCATGGGATATACCCAAGTCATAAGCGTATGCTATGCAAGATACTAAACACATTAAAGTACATTGGGGAGGGTATTCCATGACAATCTGGTTCTTTCATTGTGTTACGGGCGTGATGCATGGTCTGGGGGAGATCATGTTCGCACTCCACACCATGTTTTCTACACCCGGAGTTGATACTTGAGAGCTTTCACGAAGCTCGCCATCCCCCAGCCGAGGGACTTGCGATTTGGCCGAGAGTGAGCAGGTCGCATGTGCGGAGGTTTTCGAACAGGCCAATCAACTGGGGGGCTGGGGGGCCTGTATTCTTTTAGCAACTTTGTAGAGACAACTCCAGAAGTCGTGGCAGAGGTAGCTCAGGCTCCCATTCATGGAGCTCCAGGCCGAGTTTCCCGGCAACCTTCCAACCTTCCAACCCGAGACTGTGGCTAGCTGCCGGAGGCCCAGTTTCCCAATAAGCAGATGGGATTGGACATTATACGTTCCACGCAAAGTCTTTATGAGGCACATGCAAAGCGCTTCAGTCAGCTGAAGGCGCCCTACAATGCATGAAGGATAATGAATTTGGATTGTAGGGTCACTTGCCCATGCATACCTTACCTAGCCACCTTTGCCTATTTCCTCTCTTCCCAGGCCTTAAACCTCGAGTTTCTGCTTCGATATCATCAATGGATACTCGGTAGCACTTGGCAGGATTGGGCTAAACGGCTAAACTAAGATCCAGCAATGCCACCAAGTGTACCATGTGGCGGTTCACTTACTTGCATATTAATCCTTGTTGGTAAGCACTTGATGAGAATAGGTTTCCCAACTACTTTTCCATGTTCATGCTCATTGCTGCTGCTTTTTTCCCTATTTTGACCCACACTCCCCAACTGGGGCATTAGATGATGGGGCTTGGACGAAGAGGATTCTGGGAGGGCTCTGGAGTGAACCCCATGTTGAACATCGATTTGTTTTTGAGATTTGTGGACTCGTCGCTGGCTGGATTCCCTTCTGGAGACCTAATAATCTAACAAATGGCCAGTCACATGGCATGGTTTCGGTTCACAGCCAAAAAGTCTATCAGACAACCATGGGGGAGGCTCACCTCTCAATAATCTCAATACTCGGATTTGTGGGTTTTTCACATGGTTCTTTTTTGGGGGAAAGTAGGGTCAGCACATCTGGAGGGTAGAGCCATTGTGTTTCACATACGAGCCAACTTACGCCAGCCCAGCTCTCATGGTTCCCTATGGTTCCCAGCCCAGCTGTTCCGCCGAGCTGGTGATTCGAATCGGCCAGCTCCAGTTCCAGCCCAGGTGGAAGCAATGGAGTTGGACTGTGAGGAGTGAAACTGGCAGCGCGCGCCGGTCTTGCTTTTCAGGTGGGATCCGAGTTCCATCCGCTCATCGAAGCGATTGAAGAATGGTACAAGAGAGGGGAGAAGAAAGGGGACAAGTGGGGAATGTTGACCACTGGTTTTCAAGATCTCTGGGAGTCTGTTACTGTATATATAGTTGCGGATGCGTGGTGTGCAAGAAACATCCAAAAGACTGCCTGGCCCAAGCAGAGAAGAATTCAACGGCCCATTTTAGACCGCGGGGCCAAAGTAGTGGATAACACAGCTTCAATGTCCTTGGGATTTTCAATCAGGCTGGGGCTGTTCGATATGGTTCAACATTCCTCAAGCCCGCACTCTTCTTCAACAAGGAATTGGGTGCTTGGTAAGCTCCTATTCTGATCGCTTGATCCACGTGTCTTCATCAGTCAGGCGGCGCTTGGTCTCTTTATTTATTGTCCTAAAGACCTGTTCAGTATGGATTGTATCCTTTCGTTGCAAGTGTTGCTCGGGAGTAGCACCTACTCCATGGCATGGCCCAGAGTCTGCTACTCGGCGCTTGTCCATGTCTCGACGGCAAGGCCTCCAGTCGGCTGGACGGCAGCGACTTCGACTTCGTCGCAGGTGCCACACCTGCCTGGCCAAACTTTCAGACTCACCAGGGGGACCTCGGGTCTGCATAGTAGCATAACCGTTAGTTGTGTGTGCGTGTGTGTGTACCCCTTGTAATCACAGGGATTCCGTTGAATTGTTTTTCTAGGGGCGTGTGGCACTCTCGTCCTACCACACGCAACGAAGCTGTGGGCGAGAGTGGGAAGGGAAACTTGGCCAGTTTCCTGTACCTGCTGTGATGATTACTCCAATCTACAGGCCCCTGCTTGTAACTAGAACTAGACCCTTCTCCTGGCTTCGGTTTGCAGTAAAGAGCTAATGAACTTACCGCCGTTTTGCAACCTTGAGCTGTGAACTTGACTTTGGAGCTCATGAACGTTGAGCTTTACGCTTTACACTTTGAACTTGGAGATGCGTCACAGTCCTGCACGCACGTCGTCAACCTGTCGCGTGATCGTCGATGCTATTGTTTTGGTCTACCTGTACCCTTAGGAAATGGTAACCTAGGCCGGCGTGTGGCACCGCTTTCAGTACACCCTATCCTAAGTGTGTGGGTGTGTGTATGAAAATAGGGAGACCTCCCACCCAACGTGACCTGAAAGGTTCGGAAATTAGAGTAACGTAAGGTCGACTCAGTCAGGGCCAGTACGTGTCTCCCAGTACGTCGACCCAATTTGGATCAATTTGGAGATGTGTTTGGGTCACCCCGTGTTGTTTAGGATGGCTTGGCTTGCTTTGGATGAGCTGGGGGGAACTCTTTTCTGAATCATTGCAACAGGCTTTCAGCATCTTGATCCTTGATCATTCAGAAGTAGAGAAAACCAACCATGCGTGGCGACGAAGACCTCGCTACGTTCGGAGACGTATCTGTTTTCTTGTGATCGACTATCCGCGATTGCCTTGTGATTTAGCTTCCAGACAGCCTATGTACGGGGCCACCCCGGAGCCACTACGGTAAATCTTCCAGAGGTCCGTGAAGACGACGCCATAGAGCGAACGCCACAGGCAGCGCTGCCACAGCTCGCTGGGCGGCCGACTTCGCAGACTTCGAAGCTCATCGAACAAAGGTTCGAAGCAGATCACTGGGGTCTCTGGGGTCAGTGTTTGGGGTCTCTCAGTTGACTGAGGTCACTGAGGTCTCTCGGAAAGAACATGAATTCCACATCGTTGACCACGACCGTGGCGGAAGACCGTGGCTGCTGCCTCAAAGAGACAAGCAAAACTGGTCGTGGCTGCTACCTCCAAACTGAACACGTGGTGGCCCCGCGCCCAAACAAATTTAACCCTTGGCACAGCATTTGGCATGCAAAAGTTCCTCTACACCTAGAGAGGTGTTCAGGTTGTGAATCTTTGAGGAGTGCTTCCAGCCTCGCAGATTTGTGCCACTCAGAAGCCTTTCTCAGTTTTCCTGCCTCAAATTTCCTGCTCAAGCGCGTGCCCCGGTCTTCTTCGGGGTCGGCCGAAGCGAGGCCAGATCGGCTCTCGAGCATCAGCGAAGGTTCCCAGGGTAACCAGACCACGGTGGGGGGCATGCAGACTAGCAGACTCAGTTTCTAGGTCATACTCAGGGGGTCATCTTTCACCAAGACGCCAGGATATGCTGAGTTTGTTTAGTAATTACTGAGTTCCAATGCCAAGATGTGCTTTTATTGATGCTCAACAATATAAGTTGAGGGGTATTGACATATTGATGCTTTGACATGGGAGCAGTGACTTTCGATCATTTGAGGATATTTGAGTAAGATCGGCACGTGAGGTCCAATACTGAACTGGAGTGCATTCTGGGAAAGTACACTGGCTGCCACTGGCCTCTACCATCTCTCATTCAATGGACTTTCAAGACTACTTTGAGGTTATTTGAGGTAGAGGTGGTTGTCTTAGGAAAGGTGATGAACAGTGGCTACTTGGCAACCCTCCTTGGTTGTTTTGGCTTCCTTGCTCTACAAACCTGAAACGGCCTTTTCCGCCCGTGCAATCGTTCTTCAGAAGGCGGCCTTCTTCTCCGCGGCACCGCGCCGATGCCGGAGGAGAGTTCTAGGACGGGGCCCAAAATGGAAGCAGGATGAGTTCCAAATCAACTTGAAAGACTTACACTCCCTCCTGAAATCATGGTTACGTGGATGGAGGAGTCCCCAGTCATGGCCCTGTCCCTTGAAACTGCAGATGACCAGCTTCAATCCGAGACGAACGACCATGACTCGGTGAACTCCACACAAGCATGTGAACATGACTCGAAAGGCTTGAGCCTTTTTTCCGCAAGTCGAAAGCACCAAGTTGCTGGGAAGTCTTGAACTCCTGGAGTCCTGGAGTCGTTTTCTTTTGTGGGGGGAATCCTGCTGGGGATCCTGAGATCAAACGCCTCATTTGACTAAGAAGTTGCCAAGACTTGCAGCGTTTTTGGGTCTCGAGGTCTCGATCAAAGATCGCGCACCAAGTCAGCACGGCCACGGCCCCCCCACCCGGTGGTCCAGTGCAGGGCGGTTTGCCGCATGAGTCAGAGGATGTCATTTCGGTCACACATGGCATGCTCCTGCTTGGCAACCTTGATACCATTTGATACCAACCTTTTCGATCAAGCTCTCTTGCACTTGTCTACCTTGATGGTCCGTCTTAAGCAGGAACAGGTCCGAACACAAGAAGACAAGGATAGCGAGACTCAACTTGTCTCACTTGAATCCATGGTGTGAATCTTTCTTGGCATGGTGGCCCCATGTGGCTCACTGGTTGAACAAATGGTCTTGGCCAATGGCAAGAGGATTGACTCAGATTAAATCCCTTTGATGCTTTCTTCTTGCCATACCATACATGGTGAAGAATTAGCCCTTGATGCAACTCTCCCTCGCTCTATTTCTTCATTACCTACCCCTGGAGAGAAGCCCGCAGTGCTTTGGATTCTACGAACATCTCAGGCGGAGGTCATTGTTCTGTGAGCGGAGGTCATTGACAGGGTTCATTGCTGTTTCATCCTCCGGTCCATGGATGATCCATGGGTGGGATGCCTGGAGAAACGACGGGATGGATCCTCGTCTTCGGAGAAACGATTCAGGTGGAAACCGCTTTACAGTCCTCTCAAGGCAGATGGACAACCGCCTTGAACACTTCGAGCACACTCTGAGTGAGACCACTTGGCATCCACTGGGGCGTTCCACTCTGTTTGAGGGCCAGATGGTGCTCCAAGAACTGCCAGCAAATGCCAGTCACTGACCTAGGTGGTGATTGATTTCCAGTCACTGAGTGGTAGATTGATTCTTACATCTTCATCAAACCTTCCACTATTGCCCTTCCAGTCACTTTGCCCTCATACAACACTGGAGAACCATGTATAGCAACACTGGTGGGGCTTTGAATGGCCAGAGTCTTTTCTGTAGTCTTAAACACTAGATAGACAGATATAGACCGCCTCACGGGTCCAGATCCACCAATCTCGAATGGCCAGAACCTTCATCTACCGAGACCGTTGGGCAGCCGCCGTTGTGGCACCCGTGGTTTTTTCCTGCTTCAGGACAGACAAGCCCAATGTGCTAGGAAGTACAGGAAAGCTTGGCTCCCCAGATGGGGCAGGTGGGGCTCTGCAGGTCACCAGAAAGTCATGCAGCACTGCAGTCTTTTTGCCTTTGCTTTCTTCGCCTTGCATGAAGAAGCTCAGCACTGCGCCAGCACTGCTGGTCATCCGACCCCCCTGCAATCCGAACAGCTTCCCCCGAGCTCGTCGGTCTGGTCTCGTGGTCCGAACACCTGGAAGACGGTGGAGCGGGGAGCCTCTTGGCCATTGGAAACACTGCATATGTATGAAACAGCACAATTGCCGTCTGCGGTGTTGAAACTGCCCTTGCCAACCGAAACACGGATATGTATGAAACTCGCGTATGATAGTTGAAACAGCAAATCTCAGCACGTCAGTTTGACAAATGTCCCTTTGGTAGGGATAAGTCGAACACCTGCACAACATGCCAGCGAACAAAATGTGCATGTGTCCATGTGGTCACTGCCCCTTCACCTGCCAGGTCAAGGAAGTGTGCATCAGCTTCCATATCCAACCAAAAACGTCCTTCCCGGCATTTCTGTGGGCTCAGCTCTCAGGTCAGTGCTCTCGTCTCCCAGGCGCTGACCAAAACAAACAGTGGAGCGTTGCTTGATGATGCAACCAGATGAGCTGGTGAATGGGGAGCAGTTTACTCCCAAAATCTAGAGGTGAAGGTGGAGCAAAGCCAAAAAGGGATGATCCTGGTGTTGCTCCATGTTTTGCTTTTACTAAGAGGAGCCGAGTGGGTATGGGATGGCTGCCCTTTTTTGAGCCACAACCAGAAGTTTGCAAGATGTTGCAGCACGAATACCTCGTTGTACTGGGACAGCCTGGGAGAGGGATGCAGGTGCTTCATAGACGCCAGTCACCTGTGTGTACATTTTTCTACCACTGCCCTTCTCAAAGAGTACATACAGCCATACAGCAGATAGGTTTGTTAGAGAAGGTTTTCCTCGCATTCTTTTTTCTGGGGGAACCAAGCATGGGGAAAACTCTGCAATGACTTACGGTAACCTTTCGGATGTCAGTTGCACTTGCAACATCCTGCGAGGAGAGTCTCCCTCTTAGTACAGAAAACACTTCCATCCTAGCTCTTGACGTGTCGTTTTTTGTTTGAACATGTTTCAAGTTTAAGTTCCTTGTTCACAACCACACCGCTTGGTATCTTGACCACACAAAACCACGTGGCCGGCAGCCGACGCCTTCAGCACGAGACCATCCATGAACGCAGTCAGATGAGTCCACACAGTCAGACGAGCACGATGAGTCCGACGGGCCGACGGGCGGAGGGTCAGCACCGTAGAGCCGATCTCTAATTACATGGGACTGCCGTAGTTCTGCCCCATTGACCCCCCCATGGAGTGTTTGGCAAGATATATCATAGCGCACCAAACAACCATTCTCGCTTTTCGCCAGATCCCACCGTCTTCGATTCTCGGGGACCCAACTCCGATCTTTGAACCCAAACTCCGACCGAAGGACTTCGCAGTGGCCACGCCCTTCCAGGCCAGATCCCTATGAGAAGCAGCGGGAGGAGGCCGAGGCGAGGCCGGCGGATCCGACTCTGTGCGGAAATGCCATGGAGAAGGCCATTTTGGAGGAGAAGGGGACCATAAAAAGAGGACGTGTCAATGACATGGTTGAACCATTTATCGGAAGGAGGGAGTCATAAGGAAGATCCTGCTGTTTTCTTTAAAGAAACTCCGCCCTGTTGAAGATCTGATTTGTCTGGTCGGACAGAGCTCTTGGGGATCACGGTCCGTGCATGCTTTTCAGACCCCTCCCGCGGGGGTCTGTGAGCCAGGCGGGGTTTGTGCAAGCCAGGTACATGCGCTTCGGTGCAAACCCCCCTGGATGGGAACGATGGGCGCTGAAGTCCCTACGGGCCCATACGCTCCAAACCACCACAACCCGACGGGGCACTGAAAAGCCAGATTTGAGACCCCAGACCCCTCCATATGAGGGTCCGATCATGTCCGATCCTCCATCATATGAGGGTCCAGGAGCATCTGGGAGGATCATTTTTGCGGCAAAGCTCGATATCAAGCACCATTTGTGGAATTGAGCCAAGAGCCTCAACAGCGGAAATCCCTTCGCAATGTGTTCTTGCCCATGATGTCATGTTGAAAGAAGGAACATTGACTTTGCCAGTGGCAAATCATTTGCGGGGTATGCGGCATGCGTATTCATTTCATTAAAACAGCAGGAGCTCAGGAGCTGCACGGAGTTCCCTCGTGGCCACGAGGAAGCTTTCTGGTGACATGTTTGCAATCCCTGGTGTTTTCTTTTCTCCGCAATGGAATCAAACAGATACACAATTTGTTCTCGGTGTTGTTTTCTTTTCGATTCACCAACACACCTTTGCCAATTTGCAGACACATGGACCCCCATGTTTCATCCGAAGGATGGGAAACAATGGTACGACAAAGTGGGGAAAGGACGCAAACTTGGCTGGTTACTGCTGGATTTGCAAGGTCAGTCACATATAGTTACATCGTGACATCTCACGACCATGGGGGTTGAACACCAAAGATGCTTGGACGAGGTTGAACACATCCCACCCGTCCATGTTCATCATATCTTGGGTTTGTCCTATGATGTCCTATTAGCTGTAGCAGTTGGTAAGGGAAACCAACATCGCTAGTTCAGAGATGTCGGCCAACCTAACCATCATCCACTGAGGAATGGGATATACATGGATATACCCAAATCATATCACACATGAAACGATCGTCGATCTAATCTCCCGATGTTTTGCCCGCCTTCAGGCGCGGTTCTTCGACTGCCCGGCCGAAGCGCAGCGCATCGCGCTGGCACGTCCGGGTCCGAAGCACGGCCACTGCTGGCCTGGTTGTGCCCAAGAGAGGGAGCATCCAGGATTGCATGTTAACATGTTGGTAACATGTCTCTTCAGTCATGACGAATGTGGGGAACAGATGTGTAGATGCTTTTGTTTGTTGACTTTTTCTCTTTTACAGCCTGAAAGGATCGGCATACCCATACAAAGCCTAAGTAGTCATAAGTAGTCCCCTATGCCAAGCACCTAGGTAGCTTGATGACTCCCAGGACACATGCAATATGTTTAAGCTTAGGGAGGGCAGCGCGCTAATCATAGCTGCGTAGGGTATTGGAGAATCCTGGACCCGTGATTGTGAGGCCACAAGTTCCCGCGCAAGGCGCGACACAGAGGGCGCCAAGCCGGGTGTGACAGACTTGTAGATCGCACGGGCCAAGCCATAGTGGACCACTGGATAGTCTGTCCGACTTGTAAATCCTTTTCCAATAGTCCCACCAGACCACTTATGCCTGGGACTATATATTTTGAATATGGATTTTTTCAGGACCCAAGCAGAAGACTCGACAAAGGTATGGATCGAGTTCGCCGCAAAAGGCTGGGTGATTGCGGAACTCCCCGGACTTCAAGCAGACCAGTGACCCATTGTTCCGCTTCAGCTGGTTCCCTAGTCCACTAGAATCGTTGGGGCGGGGGATAGCCCAATGGCGGGCCTTGTTTGATTGACTGGGTCCCTCCTGGGTGCCTCCTGGGCGCCCGACGAAGACGACTTCCATCAGCTTCCAAGCCAGCGCCCAGCCAGCGATGTTTTTTCAGCCCAGCGATAGTGGAGCTCAAAGGGGAGACCAGCAGCATTGGCTGTGTAAAAGGAACCATTTTCAGTTTGTCTCTGAGGGCTCAGCTGTGGTTGCCCCTTTGACCACGTCTTCCCGTCTTTGAGTGCTTTTGATGGCCCATGGTGCCATGGTGTCATCAAATAATCATGTTTTGCTTGATGTTTTGCTTCATGACCCTGGCTCCCCAAACCCAGCGGAGCTCAGTCAAGCCAATCCTGTGGATTCAATGAGACAGTTTTCTGCTTTGTAAACGTTTTGAATTTATATAGTGATATGATTTGCATAGTACAGTATACGATAGTTTTTCAGGGTTTTTCCTTTTTCCTTTTTGGAACTCGTGTGCACTTGCATGACCAATGCCTGTTTGACGCTGCTGCATTGGGATGACTCACGTTCACTCACTCAGTCGTCTCACTTCTTTCGAGTCCAGCAGTTATGGTTGCGCAGCTGCGTCCGAACGCAGGACACTGGGGAACCAATTGCTGAGGCAAGCAGCGAATTCAGCATGAGCCGGATCATGATATGTTTGCTTCGACCTTCAGTAGCATTGCAGAAACTTAGTTACACAACTTGACGACCACTTGAGATGGGGATCCAGTTATATAAGATCTGTGCAATCCACATTTGAATCTGTCAAAGTGAGGAACATGTCGTTTGCAAAGCTACCAGCAAGACGGATTCTCTGCGAAGAGGAAGGCCGATCGATGGCCCCCCATCTGACCGCATGAAACGAACCGCATTCAACTGGACTCGACCGCCGGGACGAGTCCAGGAACCCAGTCCGCTGTGAAAAGACGTCAGTTCCCTTCAAAAAGAAAGCTATACATGGTGTTGAACTGCCCCTTCAGTCAATGTCCACCTTTCTTCTCCATCCAAAACCACTGCCGTCCACCCCTTCAGCCCCAACTCACCACATCCCGTTCGGCTACAGGACGACGAGCAGCCCGTGCGGCGGCGCATCGCCGGTTTTCGCCTGGGCTTTGAGAAGATCTTCAAGACCACGTCCGGCTTCCCCGGTGTCCGACGTAACGGTCGTTTCGGTCACGCGCGCGGCGTCGGTCTAATCTGAGACATGGACCCTGGAGCCTAAGACGCCTGAAGGTCCGGTCGGAAGCTGCAGATGAAATGGGGCGGGGGTCACTTAGGTCGATTAGACTGCCTGTCTCTGCCTACATTGTCTATGCAGAGATGCGGTCCTCTCATACCAACGAGGTGCGATTGGACTCGTTGGACGGACTACTCCGCAAGCCCTGCGACGAGCTGTTTTTCAAGACGGCAGCTGGGGGGAGAAAGAAATGCCAGTGAAGGGCCAAGAGAATCATCTTCAAGCCGTCCAGTTGCATTGTGTAGGAATCCTCTCCGATTTCTGTGTTTTACATACATCGGAAAGGATTCCGCCCTGTTCGCATGTCATTCCGCCCTGTGCAATCGGAAACCTGTGCAATCCTTTCCGTTTTTTCTTCTTTTTCCGCCCTGTTCGCATGGTCGCAAACAGCGCACGCTCGCGTGAGAGATCGGGCACGGATCGAGCACCGCCAAGCGTGGGTGCAGCGGAGCTAACAGGTCTTCTGCCGCTGCTTCAATGGGCTCCACACCATCTACGACCTGAAGAAGTGGGTTGGGGCGCTCCACACCGGACCGCGTCGATCGTCCAATGTGACCCGAAGGTAGATCGTTGGGTTTAGGGTTGATGGAGGGTTGGAAAACATGAGGGTGGTTGCCTGCACGAGGGGGATGCGAATAGGTTCTCAGATGTCGTCAGTTATGTGATGAAAATATACTCTGAGTCCCAGGGTTGATAGCAAGATATAAGATATAGATAGATAAAGCAAGTATAGCGCAACCAGGGCGTTATAGGCGACCACCCTGGCCGCACAAGCCGGAAGCCGACCTTGTTGCTGAGATCTATGAGAAGCTTCTGCTACCGATGAACGCCTATGAGCTCTCCTATGCCGAAAGTGGCAAGGCCCGTCGTCCTGTTGAGCTCCATCCTCCAATTTCACTGAAGAAGGTGGCCTTAGGAGGTCGTCGAGTTTTGCGAGTTTGTGTGCAAGACTTTGGGGAGCCCCCAAACACTGGGTTTGAATCAATCTCTCCGCTTGTCCAAGGGCTGTTTGAGGTTGTTTGTGCGAGAAACTAATGCCACCAGAAACGCAGTCTTGTAGTCTTGCGCACGGCAGGGCCAAGGACGCTGTGGTTTTCAATGGTGTTCACATGTTTGAAAACACGTCAGGTACAGCTCACGGATAACATGCGCCTGCTTACCACTCAGGCACGGTGCACCACCGTGCTTCGTGTTGCACATCATCCCATGGGTCAACAGGGCGAAATATGTCGGAGATGTTCGGTGAAGAGGGGAGAGCAGAGGGTAAATCAGTGGGTCCATCAGCGGGTCCATCCTATTCCTAACAAACTTTCAAAGAAGCTTGAACACACAGTTTATGGCTTCCTTGCAGGCAAATCTTGCTTTTGGTAGATACATGCATACATGTATCAGACCAATCCAGCACTCGATACCCCTATCATATACAATGTTCTCATCTCAATATATCCAAATGGACATGGGGAATTGCATTCGTGTGTCAGGGTTTGCCCATGAAAAGGTTGATTGTTTCAATGAAACTGCTGTTCGGGTAAAGAAAAACCATGGTCGTGGCCGGCACTGCAATGACGCACAACAAACGGTCTTTGGCCTAGCGGGAGCTTTGTACGCCGGTGGCATTTTCCGATGACATGGCTGGCGGTGCTGGTTTCTCTGACCGGGGCCCATCTAAGGTTCTGGGTCGTTCTTCAGGTAAGCGATCTTCCACTTGTTCACTCCCTCCCAAAAGGGTGGATTGAGGGATCGCCCAAGCTGTCAGGATCTGGAGGTTGATCGAAGCTTTGGGGGCGGGTTATCCTCCGGTCGCTGGAGGATTCCTTGGATGCTCGTTCGATGGCCACCATGCGAAGCTGCCAAGACATGCCCGGGACCACCAAGCAGGGAGTAAGCAGGGCGGCGTACGCGGAGGGTCAGGAGATATCTCGACTTTGGGCATCCCATTTGACATCATTTGACCGGGTTCCTGGGCCACTCTTTTGATCTCTTTTGTACCTGTGAAGCGGAGAGTTTTGCAGGCCCATCAGGCGAAGGTCGAAGGAGACCGTGGAGACGTCTGAAAGATACTGAGGAAGACCGGAAGACCTAGTTGGCAGGGAAGAAAGAGCTTAAACAGTTGACGTAATCTGGAAGATTCAGTTCACAATGTAAAGATTGTCTCATTCTTTTCCCATAGCTCTACTTCTTTGGACCGATGTGAAGCTGCAGAGTTCACCGTTCGGGGATGTACTCTATGGTTCCTCAGGTCGCAAGGCATTCCTGGTATTGTCCGGGAACCCGGCAAGGAATGTGGAGATGGGGAATTAGGGGATGCTTCTCATGTGAGAAGACACATTCAACATCTAAATTGGGAAAACATGAAGGATATCTATTCCATACCTGGACTTGGCATGGCTATGAATATTCCCAGACGCTCCATGAGACTGGCATGTTTATACCTCTTTTTTTCCGACATTCACCCCTGAAGCCACCCAAATGTATGTATGTCAATATGCCATACATGGAGTGTTTGGGATTTGGAAGATGATATGAACAGTGATGACTCTTGCAAGCCACAAACAGACAAGACTCACTTCGCGGAGCAAGAAAATGCCACAGATATGAGTCGTCATCAGCCGTTTGGTATCCATGGCGGCACAATTTGCAAGGGCATAGCCTGGACATCAGAGTTTACTCCCCTGAAGATTAACATGGAACCCCAAAACAACTGGTTGGTAGAGGAAATCCATCTTCCAGGGGACCATTGTGGGGTCGGGAGTGTAACATTCAAAACCCAACGGCAATAGCTCAAGGTGAGATCTGCACAGAACTTGTCTCCTTGGAGCCGTGAACATGCCCTACTTACTGCTCAGAGTTACCTCGTCTCACAAGGTGAGCGATGTCTACCCGGTCAGTGCATGACCTTTAACCGGTTTTGTTGGGAAATAGCTGCCCAAACATCACTAAACGTGATCAGGTGGACAGTTTGGTAAAGCCCTGACCGTCCGTCCTGCTCCCTGCTCTTCAGCACTCCATCGGAGACATCGGCGTCACCAGGCTCTACGTGAGGCGGGTAGGGACACCTCGTTTCGCCACAAAGAACCACGAAGATACGGAGATTGAGATTGGGGATCCAGGCAGTAAGACACAAGATGACACCAGTAAAAGCCTATGAAGCTGAGATATAGAGAGGGAGAGAGAGGGAGAAAGAGAGAGAGAGAGAGAGAGGGAGAGCAAGCAACAACAATTACTGTAAACCAAGCGAGTGCACCAGTGCATGTTTTTTGGAGGGTGTGTCATCATTATCATCGACCCAAGAGCACTGTTTCAACTCGGGGGTTTATCACTGATCGATAGGCAGAGTGAGGGGGGGAACATGACATTTCAATGTGGGACGTTCAATTTTGAGAGCCCAAGCAAGTGAGGCCTTTGTCGCCCATGTCGAGCACCGGCGATGGTTTAGTTTTATTTTGTATTTGTATTTTTTTACTAAGAAGTCCTCGCCGGTTCATTTGTCAGCGTTCTTGTCTACGTAAAAACACAAGTCCAAATGGGGCGAGTTTTGGGGCACTGGGAAATACCAAAATACGCACAGGGTGGATGTGATTTGATATGATTTGATAATCTTCAAATATTAAGGTGCGAATCAGACAAGGGTGAATGCGGATATGTCTCAAATTGTCCCACCCAAGCTTTTAGTCCATCTTTTTCTACCAGGAGTCTGCGCGAGTTTCCCTCATACCACATCCATTAGTTGGACCCTTGGAAAGGAGATGAATTTGGAGTGTCCTTTGCCCAACCTTCATTCTCAAGGCGGTGTCGAAAGCAATGGATCCCCAAAAGAACCACCCAAGCAAATCCGAAAAGTGGACCAATTCGTTCATTGTTTTTCTCCAAACACGAAAGCAGATGTGTTTTTTGCACTTTGCTCAGGCCGTTTGTGTGTTGAGCAGAAAGACATAAATATGAAGCCACTTCAACTACGAAGGAATCCGCTGAATGGGTCATTGAAAAAGAAGACAAACCTTCTGGCCTCGGGCCTGCCAGGCTCAAGTGCCGTACCTGTGGCGACCTCCTGAATAGCGCGTCCACGTCCGGAAAACCCAACAGAGATGGTTCAACGCTGGTGGATTTGAGACGTCACTACCCTTCCCTCTGATAACAACAACAACAACAACATGTAAACATATTTAACGTATTGTAAAATGATGTAACATGCATAAGTTTGGTGGACAGACAGCCGGATTTGTTCAGGATTTTATGGTCAAATCGAACTGTTAAAGAGAGGGCAGTCCAGTGAATCTCAGCTCATAGGCAGCTCTTCTTTCTGCATTGTTTTTGGGGGTTGGAACCAAAGAATACCAGAGATGTCATCTCCATGCCCCTTTCTTAGAGCTGGGTTGCCATGGTGACATGTGGCAAGTAGCAGAAGGGGGGTCAAAAATCAGCTCAAAAGCATTCAAAAGGCACCCGAACAAGACCCGCCCCACGAAGCAAGTTCCCAGTGCAGCATTGGAGCTTTCACATGTTTTGCTGGTGCAGTGCCGTTGGTCAGATGCCATGCTGCGACCACCCAGATGCCATGCTTTGCAGCTGACATGTCCAGCTTCGGATCCATTCAGCTCCTTCCTTCTCCCCGACCTCGCTTCGCTTCGGATCTTAGGTGCCGAAAGAAAAAGCAAATGGGCCACATAGGTCGGAGAGTCAGCTTCGTGAACGGCCCTGGTGTGGCAATTGATGGTGTAATCATAAGAATATGATTACAATATGCAATAATTATAGTGCAATTATGTATAAATGAGTGGCATGCGATTGGCATGCGATTGCTCCAAAGTTCCTTTCTCGATGTTGATAAGCACCATCCTATGCGGTGGTGGAGCAGCTAGCTTGTGGCACTCTGCTCCATCGGTGATTTGGGACATATCATCAGGCTGTGGGAAGCCTTTGACACAATCAAGTCAAGCGGATGTGAGTCAAATCCTCCAAAAAAACATCAAGAGACCAATGATGTAAGTTATTTGAAACCAGTGAATGTGAGCTCTGCTTCCTTCAGCTTCTGGTGGCCGTTCTGCTTTCGGTGTTGACCGCCGCAAGCCTGGCGCCTCGCGCCTCAGAACCTGCCTTTAATGGCCGAAAGCCACAGGGGTGTGAGCCTCAGATGCCTCAGACGCCTCAGACGCAGATTAGGCCTGGCCGAGAGGCCTTGCTCTCGGGATCGAAGCTAGACAAATCGAGGTGCAGGTAGGTGCAGGTGCCCGGGTCTGGCGGGTCACGATGGCAATGCTAAGCATGTTGCCCCCACCTAGTACCACCTAGCACCATCTAGCAGAGAAACACTGTCCTAGCACCTCGGGTTAATGTTCTCTCCTTCGAGAACTTGCCCGGCAGCTGCGGCAAAGTGAATCCTGTTTAGTTGTTCTATGTTGTTCTTTTGTCTCATGGGGTATCCACCGAAACAAGTTCTGTAATTGGTTTACCGCGTTTTTGTGACCGGGTGTGTCAAAACCTGCATGAGCCACCGTAAGCCTACTCTTGTGCTTTTCGCAGCTTTGTAGGGCAGATTCTGAGCCTGGCCAACTTCCTCCAAGTGCTGCAGAAATCCCAGTGGAACTTCAAACAGCAGAAGCCATAAATGCAGAGATTTGCTTTGGGAGATCTGAAGTAGACAGAGGGGCTCCCCTAACCACTAGGCTTCATATATGCGTTCCCATGCTTTCCCTTGTTTTCAACCATTTTAACCTAGGGAGCAGCTTTAACCCCTGAAACACAACGTAATGCCCTTCTATGCGAAAGCCATCTAAAGCCCATGGATGGCAGCAACTTCTGATTTTTCACATGCTGTTAAAGTCAATTCTTCTGGCTTCAGCCGTTTGAATCTGAACGTTCCTGATTGATTGGTAGCTGCACTGTGTCGCACTGATGTTTGAACTTCAAGGGTTCAACACTTTATATAGAGATGTATTTCAACAAGGCGCGTTGACACCACCAGCCCACCAGCTTCACATGATTGTGCTTGCTCGATCCATTATTTGTTCCGGCACCGTTGAGGTTTAACTTCTCGCGGCCGGCCTCGTGGGGGCGCCAAACAAACGGGTCTTTCAGTCGGGCAACTCATCCCGTAACGAAGTGTCAATTGAATTCATTTGACAGTTTTTCTTCAGCTGGGCATGGCAGGGGGCAAAGTTGAGCGACCCAAACCCATGGTTTGGGACGTGGGGTGGGCAGATGGACCCTTCAAAGAGTTGGTTGATCATTGTTTTGTGGATGGCTGATGGCTCGGGGTAAACCTATGTAAAACAACTCCTTGTCGTCCATCATCTCCACCATCTCACAGCGAAGGACCTCCCAGCGAACAACCCTGACTGGTCAGTCTGGTGCTACTTCCCCAGCCACCTCTGCCTGTGTCCCATGACCACCATGGATCCAGGCCCGAGAAGGTGAAGCTTCGGCAGCAAAGTACCGAGAGCTTCGGCGCGCCGCGACACCGCGACCGTCGCGTCCGAGACCTTTCGCATTGCGAAGTCCGGAGCTGAACCAGTCACCCCCGAGTGTCACAGCGGTGATGGGCGCGAGTGTCACGCCCATTCCGGGGATGTGGAGCTTTGTGTGGGTTTCGGGTCGTGGGGCCCTTCTCCTGCAGTTGGCCTTCTTCATGTCAAGGTTTTGTTGGCCAAGAACCATGGTCCACAGTGTTTATTTATATTATGTGTGCTATGTTTAACCATCATATTCCTGTGTATGTTATATACTCTGGGCATCAGGGGGGGCAACACTCCAGCACTACCCTTCGTCACGCGCCAGGGCGGCCGCACATCTCGGGACCGCCAAAGCCGGAGGCCGAAGGCGATCCTGGAGCGGACGGGAAGGATGAGGGAAGGGACGGGGGGATAGGATGAGGGTCTCCTTCCAGGGCCTGGAAGGAGGGCACGGTTTAGGGGGGTAGATTGTAGATTCGGTTTTGTCATCTTTGGTCTTTGGTGGACGACTTTTGATTGCTTTGGAATGACCAGAAGGACACCAGCGTTCCAGTGAGAGGTTCAGTGGGAAAGTGTTGGTTGAAAGGTCATTGAGAATCAACGAGATCCCGTTCAACTCAGTCCTGGTCAACAGACAGGGCTCAAACCACAAGAGGGTCGTGAAGGCGTCTTGCGGGCTTTAAAGCACACATTGAGAGTTTGCCAAACACGTTCAAAATAGAACACGTCCGCGTCTGCTATTTGAACTGAGAATCCAGCTATTGGATTTGCTATGTCACAGCTTGAAAAACAATCTGTGCTTCTTTGCCTCGTGGGATGGAGAATAGAATCTGATGAATCTGATTTCTGGTTAACAAGGGATTGCTGTTGGAAAAGAGAGAACTATTCAATCACCGAGAAATCTGTGTCAGATGGTATGTGTTTTTTTCAGGTCAAGGATCTATCAGATAACTTTAATTGACGTTTTGCACACCGTCGTAGCTGCCGGGCCAGCTGCGCGCCAGCAACTCGACTCATTGCCCTGTTCAGCCAGCTTAGCTCAGCCATGTCTGACCTTTTGAGAAGGGACCAAGTAGCGATACATGGGCACATGGTGCGGCACACCAGGCAGGTCTAGATTCCTCTTTTGGAAGAACCAATACAGGCCAAAGATACAGGGGCATAGGGCCAGTTGCTCAACAGTTGGTCTAGATTTGCTTGATGGTTTGCAGACCAAGTGTTCATGAGCCAGATGTTTAAGGCAACCAAGCTACTCAAAGCGAAAAGCGAAGAAGCTGACTGAAGACACCAGATGGAGATGGCCACCCACATAGGGAATCTCAAAGAGATGGCGGCTTCGAATCCCCCTAAGCTCAAGTGTGAAGCCCAGTCTTGCTTAGCCTGAATTTGTTTATGAAGAATTGCGTAAGCATCGGAAGTTTAGGTTAGGAGGAGCGTCCATGTTCGGAAGATTCTGACTCATCGCTCAGAGCCACGTAGTTTGCTTTTGCCATGTCCAGGACTGCCGTTCCGCTGAAAATTGCGATGCTGAGACTGAATATCAGCCCGATAGAAGATGAAGTTCTGAAGAACTATGCTCAGCAGATTTAAGTAAGCAGAATAAGAAATTCACAGTGAAAGAACGCCGCTCGCATGATCTTTTTGGTGTACCTACAAATCGGGTGCCTCCCCAAGAAAGGGCTATGACTGAAGGAAGGTGCTTCTTGGATGCGGTTGCACCTTCTTGGATTTTCTCATAATACACGTGACTGCGTGTGACTGTACGTAATATATGTTGTTTGATGTTGTTTGTAAGTCCTTCTGGTATACATTCTAGACCGACAAGGTACATTTGAAAACTAGGATTTCTATGGATTTCTAGGCATTGGATATCTATACCTTCAAATCCTCCAGCCGGGGTCACATGGCCACCTGGTATGACCTATGGCCATAGTCCGAAGACCACTGCAGGTGATTCAGCAACATTCCATGATTATGTCATATTATGTCATTTCTGGTAGAGCTACCAATGAAGCACCGGTAACGTGACATGTCATGGAAAGGATTGGAGTGCCTGCGTTTTAAATTTTAGAGCTTATGTTATTGTTTATTTAGTTTTCCTGCATGGTGTTTATTCATGGTGGATACATGGGCGACATGGCCGGTTCAGTCTGAAACATCATGATCTCCCTAAAGGGAGTCCTTTTTGGGGGGAGAAGTCTCCAGCATCAAAGCCAGCAACAGGACTCTGCTACGTGCATCCCCTATGAATCCACTATGATTTCATTACTGTGATCCCACTGATATACTGTCTCCATGTTCCTTATATGGACCATGGACAACATATGGACAACCACTGGGATATGCTAGCTGCTAATCCTGTCTCCATGTTCCAAGCCGACAAAAACCACTCAAAACCCTCCGACCTTAGTCGAATCCTTTGCCTTCCGAAGCTTCGAACCTCCCGTTCGTTCGTCAGGACATGGAAGGTGGTGGGAGGTGTGGCATGGGGCTGGGCCGCGCCTGTTGGATCCAGGGGGCGTGGAACGCGTGGATGTCGGTATGAACAACCTGGAACGCGTCCGCGCGTGGATCCCTCAGAAAAGCCCAGGAAAATCCGGAGGTTGTGCAGATGCTCCAAGTTTGTGCGTTGATTTGGACCTTCTTGGACCACCATGTTCCAAATTCATCCAACAAAGCCTTGCTTTCTCAACAGCGAGCCTGGAGGGTGTGGGCTATCAGACAGGAGAACAGACAGCATACGCATGCTGTTCCTATGGAAGTCCTTCTGGCGCTGATTTTGGGAATCCCACCTTGCAAACCCCTCAACCTTTGGCAGCCAGAGCTTTGCAGACTGTTTGCAGTAAGAACCTCCAAATCCTGTTTGCAGTAAGTCTGCAGGTGTCTGACGATGGATCCAAGATGGATCAGTTATAATATACGCATGTTCTTCACTATCGAAGGTACGAACTAAACTCAGAAACAAACTCTGAAACTCTGAACGAACTCAGAAACTCTGAAATCCTCAAGGCGACGCCATTCAGAGTCTGGCGACCGCCTCCGAGAGTAGGTCATGGCACCACACCGAACGGTTGACCGACCTCGGTCGATCTACCAGGGCTCCAGGTTTTGACCACTCCCCAAGTAGCAAACCAGAATCAAACCAGTGGTGTCATGCAAAAGGGAACAGCGTGGAAGCGGCCGTTGGCTTCTCTTGTTGAATCTCCCACATCGTTTCACAGACCAGACTTACAGCATGCCAACGCTAAAACGTACAATAGTGAAGCAAGATAATATGTCCTCATCGAGAACTCATGCGGGGGTGCAAGTACACCTTTTCAGCCAAGCCTGCCTAACACTCACACGGCCACGAAAATGTGTGGATCATTACTCATCCTGTTTGTAATGTAATGTTCGATATGGATGTCAACAGCTAGCAACAGTGAAACAAAGTGGTCGAACAGATAAAGCATCAACGACAAAGATGTGAACAAGGTTTTAGCACCCACTGCAAACAAGTAGCTGCTCTGAAACAACGGAGAGTGATCACACCGTTGGTTCAAATAACAATGACATCAAAAGTGAAGGTGGGAAAGTCATTTGCAGGACACAACTGGCTGAAATTGTTTGATTGGAACCTACCACACGGGACGCCGAAAGTGTGTTTGAGCAACGGCAGTGTACCCTGGACGCCAGATCTTCAGGAACATCGCTGACACAACTCGCGGCGCAACCACAATTAAAGCCGACAAAGAACGCACCATCATGCACCATCCATGCACCATCTATAACTGTTTTGCGATTCCTGATGCTGTGCAACCTGCGCTTGACGTTGACAGGCTTCGTACTGTGGAGCATGTGTGGAACAGTTGGAGACGCAGAGCAAGTCCTTCGATTGCAGTCATCGACTGAACTTCAATCACCACACGTCGCGCGCACCGTGGCAGTGTTATATAAATTGAAGCGAACACCAAAGGCACATCGACGCTTCTTTTCGGTGACCCCTTGATTTTATTCGGTCACAGCACGGTCTTAGACTCTGATTGTTGCTGGATCACCTGGGAAGCTGCTTTGGATACCTGTGTTCCCTTGTTCGAACTTTGGTGTCGAAGTTGGGACAGGATTTGCTTGTTGGCAACGACCAGGGTTTGCACCTGGTGTTTTTGTCTTGAGTCGTCGGTCGTTGCGTGGTGTTAGAACTGCAATGCTGCCGTCACCAGGGAATGGAACTCCGTGCGCATTTTCGAAGCCGCTCCCGTCCTGTGTTTCCTTCTTCTGGCTTTCAGACTTCGCCTCGTCACACTGAGATGCGAGGCACCCAGCAACTTGACAGCTTGTGGCAAAGATTGAAAAAAGGTGGAAGCCACATGGGCTGTTGTAATAACCCCGTGCTCAGCGGTTTAGTATTGGCGTGCACGCATTCCTACCCCAGAAACCGATAAGAGTAAAAACGATAACAATGATTTTACCTGCACATTCAGAACAAAAAGCTATTAGGGGCTCCTGGCCTTACTACTAGGAACAAGAAGCTGCTAGGGACTCCTGGCCTTACTACTAGGAACAAGAAGCTACTAGGGACTCCTGGCCTTACTACTAAGAACAATAACAAAAAGCTACTAGGGACTCCTTGCCTTACTACAAAGCAACATCGCTACCAGGAACAAGAAGCTCTTAGGGGCTCCTGGCCTTACTACTAGGAACTGAATAGGCTGTTTGGTCCATATGCTGCAGCTGTTTACATGAACCTGCAGAGGTGTCCGGAACGATAACAAAACCATAACGAAAACGATAAGGAAATGTAGCAAAAAGCAGCCCTGGTGGGCAAGTACCCATTTGACTGTTTCGTTAGACCTTTTGAAGGGCAGAAGTGTGCGACGTGGTAGTCTTGTTTAGCTGTCTATATCTGATCTTTGCTGCTGCCATGTCTTTACCACCAAAGACGGTGCACGCTTTGGTACAGGCAGTGCTACGGGATCCTGAAGTAGGACCATGTAGACCACCAAAGGACATCTTGTGATTTGTGATCTTCCACCAAAGATGCTTTCACCTGAGAAAACGATAAGAGTAGAACGAACGATAACATGGTTTCGAGGTATTGCAAAAGACACGGGGTTTTTACAACACCCCACATGGGAACCTGCAGCAGAATGTTTTGCAGCAACATCTTGCTTTCGAAGCAAGACTTCGCTTTTGACATTGGCCATGTCGATGACACTGGTGCATGTCTTGTTTTGAAGGTACCTCGTTTTCTCCAAAATAGAAAGCTAGGACCTTGGCTTTTGTCTATGTCTACTCGTGGCAATAGAAGCATGTTAAAGGACGGACCGGTGCTTTGGAAGTTCCAATTGAACTTTTCACATTCCAATCAAACAACTCCTTTTCACAACT